ATTACATAACTCTAGATTAAGTAAAAAAGTTATAAAAGAAAACTTCTCTAGTCAACTTCTGCCTGTAACAAAATGCAGAAAAAATATGATTTCTTTTACTAGTGACTAGTTGTTGAAGCCTGTATTCGACATGTTATCAAAATAAAAATATCTAAAAATGTTTATTCAAAGTCGAGTCGGAACTGAGGTGGACTCCATTATTAGGTGGTTTTTTGCATGTTCATCATGGTATTCTGTTTTTAGAAGCGTTGAAACTACACTTACAAAAGTAGCTAATTAGCTCCATTATGATGTCCTCGGGTTGAGCACTGCAGAATCAAACTACATATGTTTTATTATTAATATCAGAACAAAACCAAGAAATGACCTCAGTCTGAAAATTCGCCGACGTGGTAACTGAGTTTAATACTGAGCATGTACCTCTACTAATAGAGTTTTATTTACTAAGGATTTGGGGGTTATCTTAGATTGGCGTTTGAGATGAGTTTTTTGTTTTTATTCCTGTAGTTTGTAGTGCTTACAAGAATATAATAAAAAAAAGCTTGACTTCAGTTTCGCGTGTGGATACAGTGAGTGTACTTTGTCGGAAAAAAGTGAGTGACAATGGTAACGCCACAAGAAATCGCGATGAGGATGGGTAGTCGTCGACAGCGAAAAAGGGTAGCCAGATATGTCTGTTCTTAAAGTTGTCATCTGCCGCTGGCCACGCAACCTGTGACCATGGAGCGTGAAACTGTTCCGAAATATCGAAAAAATAAAAAGAAATCATATTGTGGTAAGAAACTTGTAATTAGTGATATCTAATCATTTAGTATATAACCACGAAAGCCTTAAAATCTATATTATAATAAAGTTTCTAGAAATTGAAAAGTGAGTCCCTTGAGTGAGTGAGCGCTGTCTACTAAAAGTAATGAATAAACCTTTTAGGTTTCCTTCTCTACAAATTATGTTCAAAATTTTTTTAAATTCAATTATTTTAAAGGTATGTCTCAGTCAAGGAAATGCGGGGTCTCTTGATATAAGTATTTAATTACTTAATGGATTGGATTCCAACCTCAGTTTGGAGCTTATACCGACTCGACTCTGAATAAACATTTTTTGATATTCCCAACATAGCATACAAACTTTATCTACCATATGTACATATATTGCACTAAATTGAGAAATAAATACATTTTTAATTATATTTAATTGTGGATGGTACATAACTTAAAATATTTGCAAGAAAATTTTCATTTCATTGCTTTCATGTAGCCATTAGAAATCTTAAAATTTTTTTGTCTTTGAAAATTACTTTCTTAACTAACATATTAAACACACATTGCGGTTACCTTCTGGTTCAAATGTAACCAAAAGCGTAGGATTTCTAAATGTACCGTTAATTTTAAAAAAGGAAGAATAAAGAAAATAAAGGAATTTAGATTTTTTTTACGTTACAAATTATGGTTGCTTTTTGTCCGCCCTTTTCGTGTAAGTATAATAGATCACGGAACTCGAGGAAAATTTTAAAAACATTGATTTAGTATACATACATAACTTATATGCCTTTGGAATCCAAAGAATTGACATCGACTTTTAGTGCCAAATCGAAACGACACGCTTACCATAGTTGCTTAGATAATTACTAAACGATTTTTCTTTCTACACTTAAACATCAAGTTAAATTAATTTCATAGTTAGGTACATTTTAAACTGTTTGGATATCATTATTTTGTCAAATGGTTTTCATGTGAAAGATCATCCTAAATTAGCAGTATTATAGCTGTTAACTGCAGAACGCCATTAAGATAGATCCAGTCGTTAAGTTAATTTAGTCACAGTTGGTGTTTGTTAGAGTTTTACTGTTCGTGACATCAGACAATTTGACTGATCACTTATATTATTTAATAACGGATATAAAATACAACCTAATATCGATTATATATTGCAGTGCGTTGGAGGTCAAATGCGAGTCATAAAAATATATATATAATGGAGAAAATTGCATAAATACAGTGTATTTACTCAGATTATGATGACACAACACACGTACGTCCAATTGCTTTGCTACGTACAGATAATATTTAAGAACAGCACCCTAATTATCGACAACTGTAAATGCGATGCAGGATAAACCTACACAGATTTTTTGCTGCGATTATTGTGGAATATAATTTAATTCTATTGTATGTTCTGCGGTTCTATTAAAAAAATGTCGTTTAGGTGTCTTACTCCATTTCTACATTCTCAAATGGACGAAATATGCGCAAATACAGAATTTCTTTTACCTACTGACTATGGCACTATTGCAGTATTAGTGTGTACTATTCAATGATATCAGGTACAATTGCTATGTTCGCGACTAAAGGATAATTTTTTTTCAAATTGAGAACTTGGCGAAAACATATCTTTTGTCTTTGTATTCAGGCTCAGCCTACAGGAAATAAGGCTCTCGAGACGTGTCAAGGGTTTCGCTGTCAATGAGTTGTATTCCTCTGTTACGTATTACGTTGCGTAACTAGCACGTGGTGGACTTCGCCTCATCCGAATTTCGCCGAAAATAACCGAACGCAACGTGGAATCGATCCACCGTACCCGCGACCGCGCGACTTCATGACGTCACAATTCAAGTAGCGACAACTAAAAGTCGTAACTACACAATAATGTTATTGAATTTTGTATTTTATTCTATATTCAAAGTCTAAAATCTCTTATGCATTTCGTCTTCATTTACTTAAGGAAAAACGACAAATACCTAATTTAAGTTGTAATATTATACTGAATTCTTAAAGTCGAAAATTCCCTGAAATGCAACATATACGTAGGGTGTACATATAATAAATATCGCCTAAAGCTTGCAAACCGCCTGACCCATATCGATAGGCCAAACTCGATGCGTATTGCGTATGCACCTGTTTATACCTACATCTTGATAGTATGTTTAACCTTCGGTTGTTACTAAATATAGGACACTATACTGCGTAACTATGTAAATATGTTCGCTACCTACTTTATGTCTAAGATCCAAAGAGCCTTTCTTGCAAATGATTTGATTACTTTTGTGCAATGAAACGGTACGAAATATTTGCTACGAAAATGTAGAACGCGTAGCGTTGCTACGACAGCTTGGCTACGGCGATTATTATTTTTGCACTTTCTTGTTGGTTAATAGGCATTAAAAAAAGTTGGGACGTGCCTAACTGTAATGCTGTACTTTACCTGCTCGTATTAGCATTGGGAAAAGAGGAAAATACGATTAGGTATGATTTATTAGTCGTCATGGAGTTTCCACAAAAGCAGGTCGAGACAGAGAGAATAACGCAAAACAATGAATACTAATAATATCATTTTATTGTATTACAAACATGTCTTTTATAAAAACAAACAATAAAACTTAAAATAAAACTAGCTCAACTAATATAAAATTTAATAGGTACAGTCAATTCGGATAATTTTGACCCAGAGACCGGAAAAAATAATCATTAAGGGCGTTTCAGTGCGTGCAAAATTGAACACAAAATGCAGGAAGGCGCGGCAGAATTCACAATTTTTGTTTTTACCTTATCGAAACCTTTTAATGGATATTGTAAATTCTACCTTATCCGCATGCCATTTGTATTCAATTTTGCGCGCACTAAAACGCCAGCCAATAACGATTACCGCTTTCGGTCCCTGCTTTGAATACTATTACATTTTCCTGAATTGCTTAATAAAATCGTCGTCTGCAAAAATGGTGCCTGTTTCTTAATGTATGTTTTTCTAGATAACCACGATGTTACTCATGATCACAGAACACTAATACCTCATGATTAGGTTTGACTGAAAACGAGTCTGTATAGTCTTTGACACCATAGCCTGTCTTTTAAGACAAAAGGAATTAAAAAATAAAATTGATATCAGGGGGACTATTCTCGATCTCCGTCCGACATCCGTCCGAAACAATTACTGTCAAATAAGTAATATTCGACAAAATTAAAAGACAAGTATCAAGTATGAAGCTTCATTCGCAACACGCGTCTTTTCATTTGGTCAAGTATCGCTTATTTGGCAGTAATTGTTTCGGACGGATGTCGGTCGGCGATCGAGAGAAGCCCCCAGAGGCAACTATCGTCCTTCCAAATAACTTTTTCCATCACTGAGGTATAATTGGAAAAATAGAAGTTCAAAGTTACACAAATTTTCGTAAATTATTTATATTATGAAAATTTTGCATTTTATTTAAAATACTTATGTAACAAGTAATTTTTGTTATGTAAAAATTATGAAAAACTTAATTAATCGAAACACTTAATTTACCACAACGTCGCAGAGTACCTATCTTATATTTCCATTAAAAGTCGCTGTAAAAACATATATACATGTACACATACACATATTTTAAACAGTGTAGGTACACGCAGAAAACAATGGCTAATTTAAAAAAAATTGACACATGTCAGTGTCACCCTTTTCCTACAGTCAAACTGCGAAACGTTTCATTTTACTCAAGATGTTCGTAATTATTTCACAGTAAAGTGACATAAAGACATAATTATTTGATGAGATTCAATTCAATGTTATTATCATGCAATTCAAAGTTACCCAATATGACTGTACATTTACATGGTTTTACAATAATACAATTTTACTATTTGTATTTATATGAGGGTGCACATATTACACATTGGAGAAACACAGACTAACTGGTAATATAAATCAAATTCATATTTTTTTCAAACTATACTATGTCAAGTACATCTTTAGCAGAATTTAAAAAAATATGTTCATTAAATTATTGTCAAAACAAAATATTATTGACATTCTAATTAACATTCACTATTTCTTCATACTAATGCAAACAGTAAATTTCAGTATAGAACAAAAAGTACAGTTATTAATACTTCTATGGTTGTCTTGAAATTCTGCTAAACATTCTGTTTACATTCTAGATGTTTTAACCTGCATGCATGTATATACCCAAACTACATAATTTAAACTCAAATACCTCTTAACATATACGATAATCTAATCACTCTCCCAAGGAAATAACACATAATATTAAATTTCACCAACAAACTCAAAAAAAACAGCCTATTTCATAAGTAGAAATGCTTATATATAAGTAGATTACTACATAGCTACATAAAAAAATGTAATTGTGATTTAAAATTTTTAAAACAGCCCAAGAATTAAGGTTCTCCAGTTCAAGTACAAACTACTGGAAAGATGGTAAAATTAACAGCCATGATAAGCAGTCTGTGGATAAATCTTGCGCTATTGCTAACCAGAATGTTCATGTGTTGTGCCTTAATGGGAACGCCTTAAATTTTGAACCTGTAACTTTGACTTTTAACATCACTTTTTATATTGCTTATTTAAAAAATAAGTTCTTTAAAATTCTGTAATCATTTTGCACAGTCAGTTGCAATGTCCATTTAAATATCATAACATCTGCTAGTATTTAAATCATTTTACATTACATTATTAAGTCCCTCAACAAATTTCAAATATTTTTCATGCCTGTCTGCATAGTTGTCAGTATCAATTCGTCTTTCTTCAACAAATTTCTTTTCATGTGCTATGAGCACAACAAAAAGCAAACTTGAGTACACTCTTTCACTGTCATACTTCCCTATTTTAGCTTGTTTCTGTCTCAAATCGTCAATCTGGCACTTTCTGCAACTCTCCTTTACAAGTACCCCGTCTTGTCGTACTAACCCAAAATGATCATACATGATAGTAATTATTTCATGAATAATAAACCGTCTGTGGTACCATAATGTCTCATGGTATTTATAAAACGTCAGCAATCCATTGTTAATCACCAATTCATTAAATAATAACTCCAATTTTCTACAAACTAAGACATTATTGGAAATACAGTTGCAGTTTTTAGCAACATTGGAAAGAAGTAAGTTAACCAAATTGTCTTCGGAATAAGTATCCAAATTCTCTTCAGAAACTTCGACAGTTATGTCTTTAGGAAAGTTGCCAACCAAAAATTTTATAAATCCTTGATGTAAATTGGTATTGATGGTGTTAGAAAAAATTTTCCAACTTTCATTATTGAATGTGAAAATGTTATTTATACAAAACTGTCTATAATGGTAACAGCTGAAATCTGATACGTGTTTCAGAGTCCATATCTCAGAAAAATTATATTCAATTATGTACAAATTACTTATATTAAATAGTATTTGCTTTTCAATGGCTTTGAGCTTGTTCAGTAGCCACATTCGATGATTCCAGCTATGGTAGTTGTTGGGATTCTTATCTGAAGCCAGATGGCAAACTTCAAGCTCTTCAGAAACAAGATGATCAATATTATATTGATGTGTAGTATCTGAAAGGAAAATTAATAAAATAGAATCACTCACTAGGGCAAAAAGTCGAGTTATACGTCTTTGTGGTATGTATTTACTCTCTAAATCAGCACAATCTACAGAATGTAATAAATTTTGCAATCATTGGAACCTGCAGACGGTAACTTGATATCTTATTTAGAAGCCCATCCGAGTATTGCAGGACCTTATTATTGCAAAAACAGCACTGGCAAGTCACTATGCTATAATTTATTCAAACATACTCTTAACAATACTACAACATATTATGGTTATGAAATATATATATATATATATATAATTTTTTTTTTAATGCATGCACTCAACCCAGTCCCGCACTAGGGAAACCCTGTGTCGCGAGTGCCATGGACATGCACATAGACAACCACAAATTACACCAAAAGTCACGCGAGAAATAAATGTAGGCCATACAAATATTTCTCCCGGCTCGGGAATCAAACCTGGGGCCTTTGCGTGGCAGTCCAGCATGGTAACCATTCAGCCCCGAGGCAGTTATTATAATTACTTGTACAATGAATGTGTACTTTAATAACCAACTTACCTTTGAAAATGAAATCCAAAACCCACCTACGATAGGCAAATGCATCGTTACATTTTGGCTTCCTAGAGAGAACTAGTTTGGTAAACTGCAGCTCTGAAGTTTTTTCCAGCATCAATTTTAATATCATTTCACGTCTTCTATTCCAAAGAGAACTTAATTCTGGATTCACAAGTAGAGTAACATTCAATAGCCTAATAAGTCTGTCTGAGGTAAAAGAAGTTAATTTGAGCGTTTTACGTTTTTGTTTAGGTAACAACTTATCCATAATTTCCGTGTAGCAAAACATATAAACATGCTTCACACACCATGATTCTAGGCCTAGGCAATTTTCTACGAGTAAAACAGGCGACTTATTTTGAAAATTTGATTCCACCGGCACTATTTCAAAGGAACATCTGAAATAAATACAATGGAAAGTTTGAATAACAATGACTAGTATCAGAAGTTATTGAAATTTTGCCAAAAATCACTTACAACTCAGCATTTTTTGTCATAACATTTTCGATGTCTTTAACAATTTTTTCCGCTAGAGCATATTTATCTTCGTCCATTTCCAACACTGGTTACGTATCTCGACAATGTTTAGTAATGAATACTTGCGTTAATTGTAATTATTTATTAATCTTCTTTCAAGCAAACGTCTAAACCATAATGTCAATTTCAATAAACAAAAACAATCAATATTATTTTGTTGGTAGTTTTGAATTCTTTGATTACGAAAAGGTTTGCGATTGGTGGAACAAAGTATACTAGAGTGGTGGCAATTGTGTTGGGTCATGAAAAAAATGTCTATTTGTTCAAAACATATTTTTCAGGAAAATAAATATTTTTCCGGATACTTTTCCAATATCTTGCTCTATTTTTCCATATTTGACGTTGACACCTATCAATAGTTGAAGTTAGTGAACGAAAACGATGGAGCCAGCAGCAAATGGTGGTGGTGTGGTTGTTGGAGGTTTTTTTCGCTGTATTGTTTATAAATGTGACTATTAGCTACACAAGCTTATTTTATAATTCGCGCCAAATGACACTTCAAAAAATATTTCTAAATGTAGAATATAATAGAAAAAAAGGGGTGGGAAACTTCGTGCGAAGAAGACGCAGGTTTTCCTCCAAATTTTAAATATACTTAAAACTCTAAAAAAGGATTGGTTTCTGTACTATAAGTGTATATATTTGTATTAATTCTTTGTATATTTATATTTAATAGTGTGTAATTTGCTGTATATATTGGTAAGTTTTTAATTTTTTCTTGTTAGTATGAGCTATCCGCCCGATGACCCCGGAGGGACACTTCCTCCGGTGTCTCAAGATGCGTTTAATGAAGATGATACAGTTGCTCAAGCTCCAATAAATATGCTAGTAAATGCTCTTGAGTCATCCATGGACACAGACAGCTCGTTTACTGAAGTGAGAAAACGTAAACGTGTTTCTCGCGTTGTTTGTCCAACTTGTAATAAAAAAGAGGCGGGGTGGATCAAATAACTTAAATGCCAATGTTCATTGAAGAAATCTGATGAAAATTCATAAACAAAAGATATTAAGTAAGAAGAAGAAGAAAGAAGAAGAAGTAAGAAATAAAGATATCAAGTCTAATCCCAGTCCGCATATAACTAACAGAGTTGTTATGACATCTCAGCATAATGCAGGCACTTCCAATAAAATTATTGTTAATGAGACGAATCGACCGATGCCTATTGGCCGTTCTAACTGTCAGGCATCTGATGTAACTCCTTTTGTAGTCCATGTTCAAAAACAAACTCTATCTGATAACAGTGACACTACTTCACACCCAGTAACATTTGGACGATTTTTAAAAAGAGCAGTTAAAGGCGTAGTAAATGGTAGTCTAAAGCGAATAGGCCGAAATCGTATTTCTTTGAATTTCATTAATTACACCGATGCTAATAACTTTACAATGGACGAAAGTCTCATCGCAGAGAAGTACAAACCCTTTATACCAACCTTTAATGTCACCAGAATGCGTGTGGTAAGAGGAGTCCCGCTTGATTGGACTGATGAAGAAATAATTTCTAATATTTTTGTACCTTTGGGTTGTGGCCCGATAATAAAAACTAGAAGAATTAGACGAAAAGTTACCAATAATAATAATGCAAGGGGATTTGTAAAGACAGGTACCATTGTTATAACGTTTGATGGGCAAGTACTGCCAACCCGAGTATACATGTGCTATACAGCTCTATCTGTTGATCTGTATATCTATCCTACGGTGCAGTGTTATAATTGTTGCAGGTTCGGTCATGTCAAAAATCGATGCTGTTCCACACCAAAGTGTTATAAATGTGGACAGGGACATTCGGGTGACAGTTATGACATTATGGAGGAAGACTACTGATGTTGCTTATGTAATGTTCATCACCAAGCAATGAATAAAAAAAGTCTTGAGTATAACAGACAAAAAGGTATAAAGGAAACCATGAGCACGAACTGTACCTCTTATATGGAAGCTGTTAAGTTGCATCTACCTATATCTAAGATATCGTAAGCCGATGCCTTACTTCAGCCATCTTATCCCTCTTTCAATGTCACATCATCACTAATAATGTATCTCAATATCAGTCGTATAGGAAAACAGTGTTCAAGAAACCTTGGACACCACCTACTTCCTCTAAAGGTTACGATCGCAAAGCCCACAATGAAGTTATAAGACAACCGTGTCTACCAGCATCTAGACCAATTATAAATAATGATAATAATAATAAAAAAGATATTAGTATATCAGATATTATTAGTACATTAACAAAGTTGTTAGCTCAATCAAATATAGTATCACCGTCCAACGTTGCATCAGTTATACATGCATTATATCAGTTATCTTGCATTAATCACAATGAATCACAAAGCTACAATAATTTAGTGTAGTTGTCTCAGTATTAAAAACAAGAAACATGAATTAATTACTCTAATTAATAGATATGAACCTTTTATTATATGTCTTCAAGAGACATAGTTGAATCAGGAAAATATTATCAACATTCCTGGCTTCAATTGTTTAAGGTCGGACAGGCCTGATGAGTTTGGCGGTGTCGCTTATTCATCAAAGATTGTTTTACAGTTAGCACTCTTCCTCTCCCTTATTTAAATAATGATATCTCTGCTCTAGCTGGAATAGTAAATAATATTTGTTACATTTCTATATACTTTGCCCGTCCCAATAATTATATATTTAATGGTTTTAATCGACTGTTTAACTCCCGACCAAAACCATTTGTATAATTAGAAGATTTTAACTCTCACCATATGACTTGGGGCTCTTCTATTTCAAATTACTATGGGGAACAATTATTAGAATTATTAGATAGCCATAATTTATGCATTTTAAATACTGGTTCACCTGCTCGCATTACAGGGCCTAGGGAAAGCTTAATTGCCCCTTGTTTATCCATATGTACACCTGATCTTGCTTCTGATTTGTTGTGGTTCCCCAGTGATTCTACTTATGGCAGTGACCATTATCCATTAATTGATACCTTCCCTTTTAAAAAACCTTTTATACAACCTAAACAACCTCTCCTGAAACGTAAGAATATTAATGCCGACTGGGACTTATTTAAAAATAATGTTGAACAACTGATACAAGTCTTGCCTGTAATATCATACACCAACGTGTCAGCTTGTTCTGATAGGCTGGCCAAACTTCTAATTGAAGCAGCTGACAAAACCTTCCCGCTGAAGTCTGGTGGCTCTTGTAGGATTCCTTCCCCACAATGGTGGGATGATAAGTGCACCAAAGCAACAAAAGAGCGGAAAGAGGTCGAAAAGCAATATAGTAGTTCTATGACCGATAACAATTTTACTAACTATATTTTAATTGCCAATGCTACAAAAAATCTGCTGAATAAGAAAAATTTTGAAGGATGGCAAAGATTTTGCACCTCATTTGATCCCAGTGTAAATTCCTCCATTGTTTGGCAGAATATCAGAAGATTTAGATCTGGTTTTCGTTCCACTCAAACATATAGTCTTTCTATTATTCTTGCAGAACAGATCATGGATCGGTTGGCCCCTCCCTCAGTTTCAGAGCAGATCATCCCCTCACCACTTCCATTTCTGCCATCAACAGGTAGTAACAATAACAATGTTATAAACCTTAACTCTTCCTTCACCACGAGGGAGTTAAAGGGCGTTCTGTCAACTGTTATAGATTCCGCGCCAGGTGAAGATGGGATTCCATATTCTTTTCTTTCTAATTCAAATAGTGCTTGTCTAGAATACTATCTTTCTTTAATAGCTGAGTTAGCCAGTTGATCTGCTTTTTCATTTCCACGAATACCCACATGACTAGGTATCCAGGCAAATACAACTTCATATCCTTTAATGAAGCATTGATGAAGGAGCTCTCTAATGTTAAAAATTATTGAAGATTGTTTATGATATTTAAATGGAAAGCGAGACAGGGCCTGTAATGAACTCATCATCACAAAATACAATAGTCTTTTCAAGCTTGGCGAGAAGAATATATTCAACAGCTTTAAAAAGGCCATAGCATTCTCCCGTATGAATGGTCGATTCCGGGAGAAGTTTGACCTTCTGAACCACTTTATATTGAAAATGTTAAACACCAACACCTACGCAACTATTATCAGAATGTACTAAATAGGCTGATTGGGAATATATATTTACAGATGCACCCAAACATTCTGTGAGTGAGCAAAAAAAGTCATCCTATCTCACTCGCTCCCATCGCCGAAATGGTCCGAATTGAAGAGAACTATAACGAGTGGCGCGCTCAGTCACCACGGAACGGAGATCGCGCATTGTATCAAATACGTATGTCGTGATGTGAGTGACGGGGATAGCTATTGGAACGGAGGAACACCTATGTAACTTTGGAATATCGTTCTTTCGGAACCAGTCACGGTGATACTATTTGACGGCGGATCATCGTGATTTTTTCACCGTGACGTTATTTATCACCCACCTCTAAGTCCATTACTTAGCCCTGTTGTCACTTTAATGTCAATGTCAGATTGAATGTTGAATTTGTTGAATCCTTGTTTGTTGTTGTTCAAATCCTAGAAATCTTTTACATGAATATTAGTTACAACTTAAAGGGAATATATTAAACAAAACTTACATTACTAAGTGCAGAAGTAATAAACCGTAATGGTAAGTGTTATAGAACGGTACATTTTGTAATCTAACCTACCATAATTCTCCTGTTTAAATAAAATATTCATTTCTCTTTATTCCAGAGTGCAATATTCAACTTCCAGAGTTTATTGTCGGTAATACTGCTTCTAATATGTACTTGTGCCTATTTAAGATCATTTTTCCCTAGTATAATGGATCGCAATAAAACTGGGTAAGTATTTGAGCAACCTTATTTACTTATCCAAAAATCAGCTATTGCATTGCACGCTATTAACTCTAGTTCCTCTCCACAATGAGCGAGCTAATACTAATATATCAAAAAAGAATTTGCACTCTTTATCTCACCACGAATCATTCCGATTGTACACATCTGCACTCGCTATGTTCTTGACAAACCGCCACTTCATTTTTACGTACCTTTATCCTCAGTACTTTTAAACTGGCCTTTTTTAAAGATACCTCAATCTCATCGAGATGTGTATATCGAGGTGTGCCTCCCTCCGCATTTGTATTCTTTTTTCTTTTTCAACACAAGTTGTCCGCCTAATAGTAAGCAACACACCTGTCCATTACAGTTGCAGGGCCTCTCAGAGCTTTAAATTGCAAAGATTTAAGGGGCCCTGCCACAATGCCAGTCACCCTGAGACAACTTGAAATGTACCATGGCCTGTAATTTCACCAGCACCCTTACCCAAAACAGTAATTGCTCACATTACTGCTTGGCGACAGAAATAGGTATTGTGTTGTTAATCCATTAACATCCATCGTTTATGACTAAATTATCAAAGCTTTTCTATCCTGGTCACTACATCGTCTTTTGCACCACAATACTCTTACCATTTACCATACTTATTGTACCATAATGTATTGTAAAGAAATGATACTAGTATATAGGCAATAAAGCTACTTCAGACTTTTCCACTTTGATGTTTTTTTTTTTTCAATTAAATTGCAGTTCCATTTCTTTTAGTTTGTTGTGTATTTGTTTCCGTTGTTCAACAAATCCTTGTATAAAAATTCTAAACAATTATTTTATTTGATAAATAAAAGATTGCTATGTTATTTAATAGTCTTTATTTTGTATTGATACAAAGCATTTTTGTGCTAACATAAAATTTGTTTTCAGACTCACTGGAACATTCTGGAAATGTGCAAGAATAGGTGAAAGGAAATCTCCCTATGTGGCTGTGTGCTGCATTCTAATGGCATTCTCTATACTTTTCCTCACATAATCTTAAAAAATTCCATTGTAAATATAGTTAAAACTTATTTAATAATAACAGAGTAATGTAGTAATCACATGCCAGTCTTATATTTTCTTTCTAATATAAGTTCACGAGTCTTTCACTTGCTTGCATGACACGCTTCGCGCATACGCAAAGATCTGTCGCATACGCGCAGGCAGGACTGTTTACGATTCGCTCGCTTGCGCCAGCCTCTTGCTTTGCGTTGGATTTCTTTACGTTGCGTGAGTTTGATATCTATCAAGCTTGATATTTCCACGCAAGCAACAGGACTTGCGGAGGACAGCACCACTGGCCAATCACAGAGCAGCAGCGTCCACGAGTCCACTACAACCAATTGAAAAGGCAAAACGCCGCGCATGCGCACAAGTCTCCGCCACGCAAAGCGAAAGACTCGTGAACGCCTTTGCGCCGATGGAAGATTTCTATGCTGTGTACCCAGCCAAAGCAAGCAAGTGAAAGACTCGTTTAATAAGGCGTTTTCTAGTATTGGAGCTCCAATTTTACAAAAAAAACTATGAATACTTTTTTGTTACCAAAAATATACTTCCCAATGCAAACACAATGTTGTTCTAAAGAAAGGACTTTGTATTGCTTTTATAAGTCATAAACTTGCTTATAGTTCATTTCACATAGCATGATTCCGGTGAAGTTTGACATTTGTAGTTTCTAGAGATGTAATTATGTAAGATTGAATGACAAAAAATCTATTTAAATATCTTATTGAGGTAATTTGTAACGAAAAAAGAATCGATTAACTGAACATAATGTAAGAACAAGTATTGAACAAAATAGAAAGGATTCAATTATTATGTTATTAGGTCAACAATTACTCCAAAAACATCAAGCAAAGCTCAAAACAAAAGAAAACGACCCACATACAAGGTAGTTGCATTCGTATTTATATGTATGCACTCGTATTGACGCGAAATACACAACAGTCAATTCGATTTATCGATTTTAAGGTGTAAATCTCTATGGATAAAATATTCTGTTTTGTGCATCAAGTAATCGGGGCAATTTATTTTTATCTTTATCATTTCATTTTCTTTCTACTTAATACACTGCAATTTTTATCTCAAATTACAACTGCACCAAATATTGCTTGTCTGCACATTATGACAAATGTACTATTTCTTTTTTGTAACCTGGTTGAGGGATTAGTTAAAAATAGTATGTGTGCAACGTAAAAATTGGAAATGTCACTCATCCTATGTGAAATGGACTACAGTATGTTACAATTAGCTAGTAGACAATAAGCAAGGAGGGGTATACCGGAGATGGAATAATAAGATCCATGTGAATGTTGCGTTATGACATTTTCCAATTTATGTAAAGAATATTTTGTAAAATTCTAAAAAAAGATTATAAATAAAAAATCTCAAATTTATTACCATTATTTTATTTTTTATACGAGATTGATTTCTAGCACAGATAAAAATTTTATAGAAAACAGTACATACTAAGGGATAGAATATAAAGAGATTACAAAACTGACAAAATCTAATGCTAATGTTTAAATAAAATTGCTCGTTGTTTTTGCTTTTGCATTTACATTTGCCAATTTCCATAATCAACGTACATCTGGCAACAGACGGAAAATTAAATCTATTCTATTTTGTCTTGTATATGATTTTTACTGGTAGCCTGTTCCTCTACTAATCTAGTGACTTCTCACTAGTGACCGCGAGAATATTTATATCGAAATGTTACTTCATGTGACCGTAATGCCACACAGTCGTTGCATCGTCGCAACGCTATGAGTTCAACGTGGCATGTTTTCTGGTTTTTAAGAGTACAACGCAACGTTGTTGCAATACATCGCTCGAAGGGGCGCAGTACGATTTATCATTCAATTCACAAATATTTTACGCGATCACAAGCGCCATCTGTCACTGTAAACTCATAGTAGAGGCACCGAGTGGTGATCAACATAAAAGTAAAAAAACAGAGTAGTTTTGTTGGATATGAGATTGGTAACAAATTATTAGAACTGTGTAGTTACGTCATCTGAAAATATGTAATAATTCGCAGGTACAGTTCAATAATACTATTGGTTCAAGAGTATGGTAATAATTTTGTTGCAATCTGGTAATCCAAGTGATTTCGAAAAAATGTTTACTGCTTCTAAAATCTGCTTATTGCAGGTTAACAAGTGCATTTAAATCTGTAACCGTGCTTTATAATAAAATAATTAGTTTTATTTGAAAATGTAAGAACAAGGAAACTTAATGCATTTCCGTACAATTTGTACCCTTACATGGTTAAAGCACAGTAAAACGTCTCAATATGTTTAACAACTTGACAATTTTAGTATGCAAAAATTTCTATCAAATGGGCTGAATACTGCGTGCTATCACCAACTTTTGTTTAGAAACTCTAGTGCATTAATATTCATACTAACACGTCCAAGAGCGTTCGCTGTCACAAACGTATTACGAGTCAACTGTAAACTGGTCAAACGATCAACCACTATAATCATCAAAGTAAATGACCGACATAGATTGACCCGCTGAGCCGTGGACGTAAAAAAAGCAAGTCACGTTTTACTGGCCATTGCTTTAATAACACGGGCAACTGCACACGATTGCAAGAGCCTACACCCTATTAATTGGAGCATTAATCAGTCTAAATATTCCTATCGTAAGCTAACACCACTTAAATACAGCGACTACACATCCACTAGTACTAAATCTAGTAACAAGTCAATTTTTATAATTCGCTAACTGAATAATGTAGGTAACAAAGGCAGACTGAAAGGTATCTTCTCATTTAGTGATATATATAAATATGTGTTTTGATCACGTCACTTCTTTGTGTGGGTTATGAAGTGTCAAAGATATAATTAGAATGAAAAAAACATTATATACTATCGAAGACAATGCAGAAGAACTTTGCAGCAATCTTTGGCAAGCTAATTCCCATTAGCTTGACAAAGATTGCTGCAAAGTTGCTGCGTTTCTTCTACATCAAGTAACCGTCTTCTTCTTCTTCTTCTTTTAAATGCCCCATCGAAATAATCAATGATTTTGCCAATGTCAAGTAAAAATAACTATGTACGGTAGTTTAGTATTATTATAAAAATTATACAAAAAAATGGCGATTTCGCCAATGTCCTGTGAGTTTTATAAACTTAACTTAACCGTCTTCAAATATTTAGTATTGTCACTTTCCATTGACATAGTAGCAGTAGAGATCCTTGCGAAAGAGTTCGTCCAGGAAAGTACCGCCATCTTACCTATTTCTGCTGCCAATCAGTAATGTCAGTATTACTGTGTTCCGGTTTTGAAGGGTAAGGGTGCTGGTGAAATTACATGCTTATGGAACTAGTCAACTTATGTCTCAGGGTGACGGGCGCAGTGGGAGTACCCCTCAGATCTTTACGATTTAAAGCTCATTGCAACTATTATGGACAGGCGTGTAGCTTACCATCAGGCACACGACTTGTTAGTACCGTCACTTGGTATTACAAAAAAAACATACTCGACAGAAGAAATGTACCTAATGTTTGTTTATCTACCAATACTCAGTTAGCGAACTTAATTATATCAATTTAATGCATTCTAAAGTTTACTAAATTAATTTAAAATGCGATGGGTTTCAAAACACTTGCAGGACAACATTACTCAAATTTTGAATCAGCACTGATCAGCTTGACAATGCCAAAAACGTTAATCGCATTTTATATTAGCCCCCGATATTATTCCCACTATATTGTTTTACAAACTTTACTTTAACGTTCTCTTTCTTCGTATAAGTCTGTTTAACATATTCCCCGATATACAATAAGATTTTAACTTGCCAAGGTAGAAACGGCGCTGATCTGTGCTGATAAATGCCGATCTCTCCCTTATTCGTAGAAGTGGCTTATATGGTTAAACCTTATCAAGACGTTGAATACTTAATAACATGAATAAATGATTATAAGTGTAAATAAAATTATTGATAATGATTCGTTTTGCTTAAAATAGTGCGAATAATTTCACAAGACAATAGACTTTCAGCACCATTTTTAGGCAAAATATATATCCTGTAGTGTATTACTACTTGGAGGCAATTTTTTACTAAATAAAATCTAAGCAATTATTACATTAATAAAGTGACGTATATTCATAAGCAATGGGTGACCTAAATAAGTACAGATTATATGGCACTAGAAATACAGTACAAAATTCTACAGGCCTTCTGCTTAACTGAGTCGGTTAATGATGTAGCTGCGCGGTGCGAGACGAATTACAGAGTGAGTTTACGTTACGGTTACGTAGCGTTGCACACAGGATAATTTCAACAAGATTTGTCTGGCGATATTCAATAACAAGTTGATTGAAGAAATCGCCAAATCGCTTGTATTCATTTCAATTATCAATGAAATATTTTTTTATTATTGTATCACATAACAATAATTGACTAAATTTGATAGGCATTTTTTCAATCAACTTGCTATTGAATATCGTCAGAAAAATCTTATTGAAATTTTCCTCTTGTGCAGCGCGACGTAACTGTAACGTAAACTGCCAACCCTCCCGCACCGCGCAGCTACCTCAGGAACCGACTCAATTAAGCGGTAGGCCTGTAGTAACGTGTAGAAACAATACTAGATTTGAGCAAGTTAGGAAGAATTACGATTTTCAAAGTAGTATGCATAAATCAAGTTATACAATGTAAAGAAACAACACTAGTCGTTTGTAAAAATAGTTCAGATACTGGTTTTATTACGTACAGTATTTATATTTTAAGAATTTTGGACAATAATACACGAGAACAAAACATTTTACTTACAGAAATAACCACAAATACTCGGTTGACAAACGATATACAAAATAATCACGAATGCCAAATAAAGAAATCACAGAGAAAAAATGCAATTTGTAAAAGGAATAATCAAACGTTATCACAGAGAGTTTATAATTACAGTAGAGGTGCACCGCAATAACTTTAAAAAGTCTTTCCAATAGAATAATTAGAGGACTACACATTTTATTTGCATTCCAAAAAGAAATATTGCACGAGCTGTGAAATAAAATATATAGTGTATATTTTGCGTTAAACAATTTAGAACAAGCCCAAACACAGTCTATAAGGGTTTAAACAGGTTTAAAAAACTGTAGAAACATGCTGTCGAGACTTCTCAACAACTAAAAAAATCCGCTAAATAACATTTCAACAACTATCGTACCTAGGTGCTCCACCTGTTTTGTATATTGGATGGTTAATTTTTCAGCCGCAAATAAAATTTGTAATCATAAACCATTGGAGTGAGACATAAGTGCAGTCACATTCAAAAAGACTAATAACACCGTTCTACGACCAAAATCTATCACAATCATACTATTTTTACTAGAAAATTTTTGGTGTCTTACGGGTGATGGTCAATATACTTAATACAAGCTATACTAATGAATTTCGAAATAATGCTAAGTATAAAATCTAGACATATTCTTAGTATAAAAGGGTTATTAAGGTATCTTAGTACCGAAGATCTTAATTAAAGCAGTTTCATAGGGAAGCAACAAAAGCATGAAGTATAAAAATTACATAAAAATGTTCAAGAGCTCTTTTGTTGTACATTTTTATTGCGAATTTGGTTCTTTATAGTAGTAATTAGTCTGTGGACATACGCGGTATCAAAGCGGCAACAGGCAATATACACCATTTTCTTCTTTCCTTAAAAAGTAATATTGTGTCATTTATGCGCCCTTTTTTTACAATATCGCAAAATCTTGTTTAAGTCAAGTTCCTGGTAAAGATACCTAATGGTCGATATTGGAGGTGAGGTAATATTTGCACCAAATATTGTGTGTTACAGTCACTATGAGTACAGTCAATTGAAAAAGTCGTAGAAAATAGGGACACTGATAACATTACGTCAACGTTAAAAATAACACAAAATATGATTTTTACTTTTCTATAAAATAAATATTAACCGATTTATTAGAGAAATTTGCGTTCCAATGTGATTTTTATAGCATCGTAGAAAAAAGAGCGGAGTACGGTTCCTTTCTAATTTAAAAAGCGATGGTTTTTATCCCTCAGCAGCATGTACGTTGTAAATTGTGAACGTTGTAAATTTGTGAATATTCAGTAGCAATATCTCTCCCTGACAGTCGGTCGAGAGAAGCATCGTGATGAAACTTGTACGTCGAAAAAGGTTCATAGCCCTTGGAAAACATATTAAGGCCCCAGGCACCATTGTGAACGGATTTCGACCTGAACCCTCTCCTAAGAGGAGACCTAGCAGAGAAACGCAGAGAAACGGATAATGGGTTGATGGAATGTGCATATTGGCGGCTCGACGTAAGGAGCACTGGTGCAGTAAACTCCCACTCCTATCCAACCCACCAAAATAAAATTATTAATTATACTTTCATATTATATTAGTAGCCGCAGTATTTTTTTAATTAATGAACGGCAAGCATATTATTAGATTTTTATCATTTTCTTTAATACAATATAGCATACTGACCCTTCAGTGGAGCGCTTCGCGATGTATCCTATGAACAGATGTTGTTTACAAAGCGCAGTACTGAATTCAATGAGTGCGAAAGAGAAATTTAGTTGCGGCGATGTGTGAAACAAAAGATTAGTATGAGAAAATTAGCAAGATTTGAGCGGCGCTCCGAGCAACGCTGCCGTGCCGGGCGCGCCCGATGCGACGACTAGGTGATTCTGCACTTCGCCTCCGCGCGCCGTTGCCAGTTTTATTTGTCAAATAAACAAACCGTATTTTTTTTGTTGTGTGTGTTGTGTTGTAAAAATTATTACTAGTCAATCGTTGTTAAGAAGCGTAGTGTTGTTTAGTGGCATTGTTTAAAATGGAACAATATAATGTGAGTTCTACTTTTTATTTAAAATATGTATCTCTCCTACTGAAATCTCCGTCGAGCCACCTCTGCATTGATAAATAAATTGACAATATGCCTTCAATATGTTGGTATGCCTGATATTTGACCGGTATTCTGTTACCATCAACCTGTTTCCAGAAATAAATACGTTATGTATTATGAATTATAATTAAGATTAGGAAAACTTCATACAATTAGCGACTGTTAATTAACAGTTCATATTCCAACAGTGTTAAAACGCAAAACCCACCATGAGATACCTTTATGAGAACCGACACGTTTTTTGCATGTTATGTGAACCTACAAAACGAGCTCAGGTGCAATTTTCCCATTTTTCTCTTATCTTTCTTACGTACAAGATATAAAATCTTACGAAATTAAATAGTCAAAATAATACTAAGAATAAATACACCTTACAATTAAACACTAGAGAGCTGTTTGAATTCATTTTCGCTTATAATTCAAATCAGAAGGCATTTTAAATAAAGCACTATTTTGTAAATTCCAAACTTTGGAGTTATTCACTCTAGCCACGTCTAATATCAACTAGGTAAACTTTTAATTGATGCACTGATTAATAAAAAAAATATTACGAAGGAGCTTTTTTGAGATAAGCGACAAAATATAATGTTAATTATATTCAATTAATACATTAGAATGAAGTAGGTTAACAACGCAATCGTCACAAAGATTGGGCATTAAAAAACAGTACTGAAAATTAATAATTACCGAGTTTTTTAATTATTTTAATACCACACTTAGCTAGCGTGAGTTTGGCACGACGAAACTGGAAAACAAATTCGTATTAATGCGACTTTTGCTGACTCTATAAATTGCTACTTCTGCTAACTGTTAAAATTTTTGCATTTACATAAATGCGTATTTAAAAAACAGAATTTGTAATTAATAAATATGACAACCTAATAGAGGGTAATAATTACAGTAATGTTATACTTGTTATTGAGGATTCTTGAAATCTTTTAAAGTTCTATTCCTTATCTGAGAACTAACTATGAAAAGAATGGTTGTAGTTCTGATTTAATTTTTAGGTTTGAAGTCCACTCTTGTCACAAAACGCATCTTGCAGAAATGTGTTAACGATATCCCATATGGACGTGGTACTCATGCGTATCTTCAGGCAAATTCCAACCCCTAATAGCGATGTAGTTATTAAACTCTAGGTATAACATTAGAACAAGATTTTTATCAACCAATCTGAGAGTCAGCATAAATAAAAAGCTAAAGCCAAAAAAGACTACGCGACTGTAGATGGCAGCACAATGCGTTGTGTTGTAGTTGTGTAAAACCACCGTAACGCCCCGTCCTAAGCTCGAGGACTACTATACTACTGCTACCGCGCGGCCGGTGAAGATATTTGTTACCCTGAAATGGAATGTATAGATAAATGAATGTTTGCAAAGTTCCATAGGCGGTCTATGCGGAATTCTTTAAAACACGATTTAATTCGTTTCATACGAAACAGCAATGTATTTTCTTGTCATGTGTAATAAGCCTGTCAAGCGGGGCAAATAATACATACAAAGGGAAAACAATCCAAACCACAACAAAAAAAGGAGATTTGGAGGAGGAAATGCAAACTGGCAAATCCTCCTTCTATAAAGGAATGAATTATTTTTAATGGCTCATGTAGTGGCACATTTCAGTTCCATTACTTTAAGAGTATGGGAGTAAGTTAGCCTAGAGATCGCATTATGCTCGAAATGACATTTTTATAGAGTCGCGATGAAGGTTCTTAACACATAATGTTGTGACGGTGTGACCTCCTTACACCGTCATCCCACCTTTTTGTATCGCCTCTCTCCATTCGTATCGTATCGTTTTTTCTTCTTCTACTCATATTTAAATTTAAAATGTTGAATTGTTCCATTCTTCGCCTCGCATTCTGATTTTGTTTCGTTCCATCGTCACTCTCTACCCGATCGCGGCAGAGAACACATCGTCTTCCTATTTCTTTGAACCGTTTACCATTTTACTAAAAATCTCTTGTACAATCATTGACTTACAAATAAATGGACGACGGGTCTAATACAAAAACCACGAAAAAAATGTCCCAAGTCAACCTATTTAAACGTAGTGACATGTAAAGGAATATGAAAAAGCTAAAACGTTGAATTTAAATTGTAATGTCATCGCAGTACTGTCTAATTTTGCTTGCTTCGCTGTCAGTCGAACAAACGAAGACTAAAGCGTGAATGACGGTCTGTTTACGATTTTAACGCCCTATAAGTTCGGACACTTTTTAGCGCGGACCCGACGTCCATATGATTGTAAGTCAATGTGTACAATACATATTTTAATATCATAAATATTGTTAAAACCGGAATAAATATTTTTTAAAACTGGATTTATTACCATTACCCTTTACCCTTTTCAACTCCCGAACGTTAAACTCACTAAGCGAGTTCTGCGGTCTACTGAACATTCCAAGCGGTACTAGCAGCGGCACACTCTTTCACTAATGTGAAATGTGCATTGCAAGCTACATTACAATCTACGGAATTCCACCAGCGCTCCACAATGTAAGCTAATTAGCGTCCAAAAGAGCGTGCTATAAAGGAAAATTGGCTCGAATATGCACATAGCACGAGTACACGTTCAACTAAGGGATTCTCATTTCTGCCAGGGAGACGGCTATTCGACGAACGCCATACTAGTGTTATGCAAATTTCAACAACAAACTTCAACTACAAAACCATATGGAAAATTACTCTGCACCACAAAAAAATATAGCACAAACAAATTACTACCTGTTTGTGTACTATTACACTACTGTTTGTGTACATACTGTCACGCCTCTTTGGGGTAGACCGACTATGGTCCTCCACTTGCTACGTTTCTGATATACCTTACAAATTAAGGAATATAAGCTTAAATTGTAAAGAATTTCATCAATTGTCATAAGGCACAAAATAGAACCTCACCTGTGTTAAAATTAAACGTATTCTATCTGATCATCTCCAGATACTTGTGCTTGTGTTTGGTGAGCATTTCAGTGACAGTCACCAACTTCCTGATGGCCGGTTGGGTTTTCGCCAGCCCTTGTAGCTCGGTTAGGTGTGACACGCAGATGTGGTGGAGCGTTGCTAATTCTTTTGCTGCAATTAAACCATTTAAGGCATCTTTATTCATGAAAGTACAAATTGAGAGCATTTAAATTTACATTCCGTAATATGAACTAAATATCCACTGATTTTTACTGAAAATTTCTTATATGTTCATGTATTTTACGTTAAAGCAATATTACTAACCGATATCAACGTTGTTGGAAGTCTGCGGTGGATTCCCAGGCTCTTGCACTGAACTAAGTTGATCCAAGAATACAACCATCCGCTCCTTATTCTTTAGAATAAACGGATTCACGACCTCCATGTAGGGTTCCTGTAAAGAATAATTTGTTTGTAGAAAAGTTATACAATGAATTGATAAAAAAATAGGTTGGCTCTCAAATGCCTGTTTGTGTTACTATTTTAATACTTCTTTTTTTTACTGTCAACTTGCTTTCATACAGTGGACTATACTCTAGCTTGGACTGAAACATTATTATTATTATTTTTTTAAGTTCTAAACTAAGTGATAATTGTTTTCATCAGAAAAAATATCTTTGTACAGTTTTTAAAATATCAGAATAAAAAATTTGGTTTTGCTGGACAAATTAATTAAGGCATGGGTGTCATGGTTTAGGAAAAGAAAAATTCACATTTAAAATAATATTAATAATAATAGTTTATTTCTATGTTTTTTAATATAGTAACAGGAGTCACCTTTTAAGTGAAGGAATACCGGTGACAGGAGACTCTTCTATAACTATTTAGAATATCGAAATAAGTACGTCGATAATGATCGCAGGAAAGCTTTCTTCTTGTTACTCAATTTTTCTTACAAAATATTTGTAGGTGAAACGTAAAGGACCTTGCGTCCATATTTATATGTTTTTACAAACATTGTTTTAGAATGCTAAAAACCACTACACTACAAACCACACAATGGTAAAAGACATTAAGTCTTGCTGTTGTTTTTTATTTAACATTTTTAGTTGACCTTAAAATTCTTTTTAAATGCCTAATTTAGAGGCTCATTCTCTTTAAAACCCTGTAGTAAATATTACTATTTGGCACCTAAGGTTTTAATGTTAGTTTATCCGGCTCGAAGGATCAATTCAAAAATTTAGAATAACATTAAAACCGCCAGTCAGCTAGCAATGTCAGCCGTGACCATGGGACAGACAAATGCTATATTGGCTAAATGTGAAAACCTCGTAACTTCGTTTTTGGACAAAATCGGTAAGCAACTCTTCAAGCACAATATCGGGCAATTAAAGTTTTTACTATAAAATAAAAGTATAATCATAAATTGTCATATAATTATTTCTAGTAATTCTTATTTTTGTGCCTACTCACGTTTACGTTTATGGAAAAGTTCACATTTATGGACATTACGATGTGTACCGAAACTATAATTTCATTTCCAAAGTGTAACAACAATCGCGACAACCTAAGAACTCGAAACATTAATAAAATGGTGAATCTAACCTTAGCCCCGAACTCGATCAGGTTGGCAAGGTTCTGCAGGCACTTAGCGACCATGAGCAACGACCGCTGAGCGTGTGGCGGGGGCACCACGTTCACCAGCCCCCACGCGCGCGGCTCCACCAGCGCCGGACAGATCAGGCGCAGGAAAATAAAGCCTGAACGCAGACAAAGCCCATATTGAGGCACCAATACAATTTCAGGACCGTACTAACAACAAACAAAAGTGCACTTAAAATTCATTGGATGAGCTTAGTTTTCACCATAATTACATTCAGATATTTTCAGCGTTCTGCATAACGTTTATATACTGATTAGGTTTAGAGCGTTTGCGCACTAAGTCCTATTCGTATCGTATTTATTCGGATTCGGAACTGGGGGTCTACTCTCGATCTGCGTCCGACATCCGTCCGAAACAATTACGGTGAAATAAGTAATATTCGACAAAATTAAAAGAAAAGTATCAAGTATGAAGCTTCATTCGCATCACGCGTCTTTTCATTTGGTCAAGTATTGCTTATTTGGCAGCAATTGTTTCGGACGGATGTCAGACGGAAATCGAGAGTAGACCCCCAGTTCCGAATCCGAGAAATGACGGTACGAAATGTCACGGGGATCATTTTATCTCTAGGTGTACAAGGATATTCGTATTTTTTCGATTTCGAGTCGCACTTAGTGCACAAGCGACATCCGAAGTGGGTCCGAGTTTTCTAAATTTGTGTAGTCTCGGATTCGGAAAGAATACGAATCGGATGCAGTGCGCAACGCGCCTAATTAAAATATTTACTTATAATTATATATTTATTAATTATAATATTTAAAAGAAACTTAATAACGCAAATAATAAAAAAATTACAAAATGCATTAAATCAGCGCGTAATTCAACTCACGAGCAATTAATATGACCCATTAAAAGAAACCTTGACGTAACCGTGACTTTTCATTAATTGAGGCTATTAGCGTGTGCAAAAGTGGTATTACCCAATGCAATGCATATAGAGGAGAGATTTAAGATTAGCCAAATTAATTTTACATATTTTTAATACATGAAAATGGGCATCCTAATACTTATTAATTACGTACTTCAGTACCATTTAAAGTAGTATTGTAGAAAAAATAAATGTGGGTTACACCACTTTTAAAAAAGACGGCGTCACTACTCTCTAAACTGCGTTCTAGTCCTGCAGCGTCCTGAAAACGTTTTGCAGCTCAATGCCCCGATGCTTTGTCATTTCGACCAGGTTCTGGTGAAGTGATGGGGTAGTCGGCGCTTAGAGCGTAATAATGTATAATGTGTGTTTTTATGTTTTTTGTGGTTTGTCTCTGTATTTACAAATAATAGTCGTAGGTTAAAACAGTATTTACAAATAAATTATGTATTTATTATTATTTACTTTATTTTTCTCAGCTTGTTAGCTGATTTGAATTATTATTATTTGCACTGATAGCCTCAATTTATCTGTGCATGTAGTATGCAGCTAGTCTACTCACCAGAAACAACTCTGGTGCGTACGAATCTTTCATTGGGCCACTTCGCAACAGCGGCGCGCTGTAGGCAGCCGCACAAGTATCGTACAGGCCGCGGGCAGGCTTCGGGAGAAGTGAAAATTGACAATGTTATCTGTAAACAAAACAATAATAGTGCGTAGTAGATGAAGTTTGCATCTATAAGTCTTGCCTATCAAAAATAACATTAGTACTTTCATCCCGTGAATTTCGGTCTCGACAATTTTGCGTGGTTAGACGATTTTTTGGCATTTTCGAGATTCAAGACTGATTTTCAGTCTTGGGAATATCGAGAAAGCAAGTGGACCTCTAGACGAATATGTCCAAGACTAAGATTATTGTGAACATCTCCAACGTCGTAAGTCCCTAAGTCCCGGTGTCACAGTTGGAAGTGAGATGTTGCGAGATTGTCGAACAATACATTTGTCTTGGATATATTTTATCTTTTGGCAAATCAAATTCATCAAATGAAGGAGATTATCAGGATTCAGCTCGGGTGGGCTGCGTTTGGACATTCTTAAGTCAGCCGAAATTCCACAATGTCTGAAGACCCGTCTATGTAATCAGTGTGTTCTGCCTACCATGACTTACTGCCGAGACATGGACGCTCACACAAGAGATATAGGATGAGAGTTGCACAGAGAGCCATAAAGCGTGCCATGCTAGGTATCAAGATTATAGACCGTGTTCGCAATGTCCAGATTCGAAGTCGAACGAAAGTAAAGGACGTGCGGAATCGCATCACGAAGTAAAAGTGGAACTTGGAGGCCTATACTCAGTAGTGGGTGAAGTCACGCTGTACATCGACTGTGAACTGGCAACCGGTACATCTCAATTTTGACTTTAAGATGATAAAAAAAAAAATTTGCTTTATTTATATACATAGTGTACATACATACATGTGTAATAAATAGTAGTTTATGTGACTGTTATATAATGAAAGGCATAAAAATACGAGTGAGAATTTATGACACGAGCCGATAGGCGAGTATCATAAAAATATCTCACGAGTGTTTTAATGCCTAATTATGTACAGTTACATATACTGCTTTATCTACACACATATTATAAGCTCTCTGTGATGTGTTCAGGACAACCGCATGTTACGACTGACGCGAAATGGCGGCAAATAAAAACTTTTCTCGCACAACTTTTTTTCCATCCTTTAAGCGCACAACCGTAGTTTTTATTTTTAACTCATAGACAAACTAGAATGGGCCCCAACTATCATATCGTTCGATATCAAGCTTACAGGATGGAAAAAAGCCATAGTCTAAGATATCAAATAACCTGTGAAATTGAGAAAATTGTTTGCTATTGACACTTCATTTCGAATAAAACTTCATCTCGATTTATTTTTTCCATCCTCTAAAATCTCGACTGATATTAGAACTGAGGTCAAATCCAATTGTTTTGTTTTTCAGAGATGTTCGAAATTTGAATGTAATAATAACATCAAGTTCGATATTATTATGAAGCATCGAGTATATAACCAGAAATAGAGACGAAATAAGGGCCATGTAATCCTGGTAACACATTAGCGATACAGCGCTTATAAATATCAACTCCCGTTTGCACTGAAATATAGACAGGCCAACTACTGACCTGTGCGTATGTCTCCGTATATTCCAAAAAATATTCTGTATTTATTGTAAGAAAGATAATATTTTTAACAATGCCGTGCTGTTATATTCGCTGGTGTGGGAAAAACAGCAAAACATCTAATTACAAAACAAACGGAATCACATTTCATCGGTAATTAAAATTTAATTACGTAATTTTGCAATTTTCGTCCATTATAGCAAAGTTCAAGTTAACTGGTCGATTTGAAGTGAAACAGTTGACGACACTCGTCAATGGTTTCGATCTCGGGCTAGCCAATCGGAGCGCAGTTGTCACGGTAATAATATGGCAGAATAGTTTTCAAACAATTTAAATGACACTTCGTCTCTATTTCTGGTTATATATGTACTCGATGTAATGAATAAAAAAGCAATAACAACATTTTCACAGATAAGAAATTTGTTCTAACAAAACAGTTTACTTTTATACTGGTCGTAATTTGCGGTTTTTGAACACATTATAGAGAGTTTATGGTATGTGTGTAGATAAAATATTTAAGACTACGTATTTTTATCTAATAAACCAGATGCTATATATAAGTGACGCAAGCAATTTTCTTCGTCCTGTAAAGTTATCAAAATTGAGATAGTACCGATGCGTGGCAGTTCACAGTAGATATGATGATATGATGATGAATATCAAGACAGACTTAAGTTATTAATAAAACAATATAAAAAAAATCTACTATACCAAGTCATTTTTATTGTGGTTACATGGACATGGCAACACTCTGTACGTTTCTCAGTTGGTATAAAGGTCATTATATAAATGAAGGTTCCGCGGTAATGTAAATTGAGCCTACAGGGTTGAACGATGTACATTTTAAAATGTTGTGGCTTTTAAAAAAAAGGAATAATTCATAAGATCTGATAAAAATAAAACAAGGTACAAGTTATTGAATTACCTGGTCAAGGATCATAAGTAAGAACTCGGCATTGTTGCAAGCGTCGTCCGGAGAGTCCATTTTCGTGGGGTTCAGTTCAGCTGTTTGCTTTGCATCTATTAACTTCTGCACTGTCTCGACAATGGCCGCCTGTAAACATTAGTGATTTTGAAAATGCTCATAAAATATCAGAAACAATTTATTTATGTGAAAGTAATTTGGGGTCGCTTCGAGTCTACTTGGAGGCGCACTCCGTACGGGCGGCCCCAGGAGAGCAAAAGTAAAACAAACACCCATTACCGCCCTAGAGCCGTATGACAAAAATACCGCCTAGAGTCGCAGCACGTTATACTACTACTTACGAGTACGTATGATGAAAATAAAAACTTCAATGTGTAATTTGTTTATTAAAACTATTCTTTTTTTTATAATACCATGTGACGGGATGAACAAGTCGTGCGCTTGGTGGTAAGCGACACGCCTATCCATGACAGTTGCACTACCATTCAGAGCTTTAAATCACAAAGATCTTAGGGGCAATGCCACTACGCTCTTCACCCTGAAACATAAGTTGACAGACATTCTAATAACAAATCGTGTTCTCATTGAAACCATTGTAGTTTACACATAGCTTACCTGTAAGAACTGTTTGCACTGTGAGTGCATGAATTCGTCGACGACGGCCGTGGCCAAAGAGGCGCCGCGGAACAACGACCTGTGGTCCGTCTCCCGCGCCACCTCTGCACTGACCAGCTCGCGGGCCAACTCTGCGGCGCGCCCGCATTCGGCAAACGCATGTAGTACCGCTGTACAATACAGTAAAATAATGTGCATTCTAAACTTACTTGAAAAAACAGACTTTAAAAAAGTCTGTTTTTAAAGTCTGTTTTTTCAACCATTTCTGTTTCAATTTATTTTTGTGTTATTACAATTTTATATTACATTAATTTTATTTGTTCTTTTGTTTTCTCATGATGAGTTTTTGTTTTTGTTTTTAAGCGTGGAGTCTACTGTGGTACACGCACATAAATATGCCTTTCTTCTTTCTAATATTCATGCTGATGGAGCATAATTTTTATTAATTGTTTTTTCTTTATATAGCAGCCGTTGCGTGGCGCTGTCATCGTGAACCCGACGAATGTAATAAAGAACAAAAGGTGTCTTATGTGACATGTGATACAAGAATTACTATCGATAATGTCGAAAAGTCTAGGATAATACTGAGCCCTGGCCAACACACTCTACATGTTTTTTTAACTGGGACAGTATGAGAAAATCCGAAACCATAGGAAATATTATAAGGAACAGTTTCCCTTCTTAGGAACTATTAAATCCTTTTTGTGAAAAAAGTTTTGGCATAGTAATTTTTTTTTTGTCAAGCATGAGTTATCCATAAAAATGAATAAAATTTATAATTTTTTTTAGTGTTGTACGACTCAGTTTCATGTAAGGATCCTTTCATTGTATTAGAAGAAATCAGGACATAAGAAATAGGGATCAAAAATAGTAATCGTTGAATGCTTTACAGCGCGTGAAAAATTTAAAACAAAATGCACACGACTAAAATAGAATTTACAATGTGTCAATCTTTTTCAGTTACTATCCAAACCTATTTACGATACATTCTATATTATCAGTATGCATTTTATACTCAACTTACACGCGCTGAAATATCTACAACAGTTAACTATTCCGATTCCTGAAAAGAGCTAAAGGTTACTCACAAGTAGCCAACGGTTGTCGATCGGTGCGGCAAAGGTCGGATAACGCCTTCACAGCTGGAATGCCCGGTTCTAGTAGCAGCTGACGCAACGGATTGTATTCTTCGCGAGGCATTACTAGTTCTTGCATGTACCTGAATAAAAAGAATAATGGACGGATTTTTAGGATACCGGCTTCGTTCAAACACCTAATTCACCAGGAAGATGGTTTCAAAAACCAGTACACCGTATGTAAAATCGTACATCGTATGTTGTCACGTGATTATTGGAATCAATGGAAAATTTTGTGTTTTATTTGCAATAAAATGTTCCACATTCTCAATACAGCTGTTTAATATGTAAAAAATGAACTATTTTGGTTTTGGTCACTATTTTTGAAAAGCAGTGATATCTTGTGCATATGCCAAGTGTCCGGCAAAAAGTATAGATAAAAATATGGAAAAGAAAATAATATGTAACTACTTCGAATACACTTCCTTCTTCTCCTAACGTCACGCAGGCCTAGCCGCAGTAATTAAAATAACGACAATTTCGGTCGTTACACTATTAGGTAGTTCGTATTTTAAATATGAACTCCGTTTCATTTATTGAATAACTTAATCTGACTTATTTTTGTGCTGACCACATCAACAACTTTAGCGGCATTATTTATTGATCAACAGATATTTCGGTCGGCTGTGTGCTTGTACTTTCATCTGTATTCTAAAACCTTTGCGAATTTGGTAAAAATCTTTAAAAAAATAAACATGACGGCCTAAATTAGACTGTTCATAGGTATGTTACTCGTAAAAAAGTCTTAGCCTAAAGTCAAGTCACTTATACCTGTTACCTCTTTCAGATCATCTTATAAGAATTATTTATTATATATCCAGGTGTCTAACAGTACTGGCAATCGTGCTGTGCCGACGTACCATTTTAGAATCAGAATCAGAATCGTTTATTGTTTGAACTGGTAAAGAAGATGTTACATGTAATTTGAGTACAACAGTTCATACCCCTGTCGGGTGTATAATGTTATATTTATATATGATACGGTTACAATTAGTCAATAAAATAAAAACAAAATTAAAATTAAAGTACAATTATTCAAATCTCAACAACTTAAACACTGTAGGGTAAAAACTTTACTACTGACATTAATATCCCAACCACAAAAATATACGCCCGATCAGTTTTGATTTTATTATACCCCACCTACTCTACACGTACACTAGCATTTTTTACTTTTTAATTTTGATTTGCACTTAATATTGATTTACGCCTGGTTAAGTTCATTGTATACCATATTTATTATTTTATTTGTGCCAAGCGACATCATTTTTGGTATTACACTGGTTTTCAGTGAAAAACCAGTTTAACGAGGTTTTTTCACAAGTCTCGCTATAAAAAGCCGAGTGGAGATCATTTTGGTAACATTTTAAATGTAATTCTTTTATTTTGTATTTTCTCCTAAAACTATTTTATTTTTTGTCATTATTCTGTCATATATATATGACAATATATATATGACAATATACGGAATAAACTATTATTGTTTCTTTGTTATTTATAAATACAAAAGGTATTTACCTAATACGCAGCCTTAAAGACCCCCATTCTCCAATAGGTGTCATACCTACAAGGGGATACCATTCCTCTATCTCTTCACCGTTGGCAAGATTCGCCAATTCTATTGTTAATTCTGCCACCTGTAAAATAAATAAAAAAATAATAAAAGGAGTACCATAAAGGGCTATCCACCCACTTCTGGGCCGTGCCAGAGACGTGGACGGGGCGTGCTAATTTGTATGAACTACGGGCCCGTCCCGGCGCCGGCCCGGATACGGACATGTGTGAACGAGTTCATACAAAATATACGCAACGATATTTTTTCGGGCCCCTGACGGAGCACGGCCCGGATATGTGTGGAAAGACCTTTACGTTGACCTTTACGATGATATCCGAAAGTAAGCCGGAAATTTGTAGAACAGGAACATCACCAGGTGGCGATATCTAGGAGGCTTTTATACTACACTGAACAACGATGAGCTGGTGACGATGATGACGACCAATGCGATTGATCGAAGTGTGCCTACTGTGGACAAGGTCACAACTGTTTTCAACATAAGACAGACGTGACGGTATGTTTTTATTTTATTTATCCTTGCATTTAGAGTACTATTCTAGATTCTGACTCGTTACTTTTATGAAAGCATGCGAATACAATTATTATCAATGTACTCTTTATTCCAGCAGTAAGTCACTTCTATAATTCACCTCATACGCATGGACATATCTAGAAACGCTATAAAAAGGTTGAATTATGATATAGTGCATACGAAACACGGGCTGCATATATCACGTTTAATCGAAATAAAAAAAAGCATCGAAGTAATTCTTTTTTCAAATTAAACGTTTTTTTTTAATTGATTGCTGGCCATGGAAACAAAGTCCTTTAGCCGATAACATAAAAATAAGTTTTTCTGTAGATATGGCCGCCACAAAGAGGATAGGCAATTTGAGGCGGCGTGCTTGGATTGACTCGGGATTCCTTAGAACGGGCCGATACGGGTATTTTAGTTCGAGATTCGTATAATTTCGCGTTTTAATCTTCGATTAAGGCACAATAGCACTATCCTATTCCACTTTAAACTAGATTTCACAAAATAATTGAAAGTCAAAATAAAAACGACACTTTTCCCTCCAAAAGGTCCAGAGCGAATCCCAAATTAAACGTTCTGGTATATGTTGCCAGCGCTTAGAGACTGGAAAAAAAATAAAAGAAAGAAGCTGCCCTATCTACGGAATAAACGTCGCTACCTAAACCAAAAACGTCCACCACAAATGACGGATTTCTTTAGTGTTGTACCATAATCATCGATAAGTCAATATCGACATGCAAATGTATGGCTTGAATGTTGAAACTGTTTTTTTTTTGTTATGTTTGTAATTTGTATAGTTTACTTTGAATCAAAGTATGATTAAAAAGTTTAATTAAAGTAGATCAATATTCATTGTCATATGGGAATATCCGGGATGATAGATGAGATTTTGAATTTGTTATATTGCATTTAATTTTATAAATGCTCACAAATATGTGATATATATAACAATAAACAATAATATAAATCAGGGGATCTCTATGCATTTCCAATCTCAAGACTGATATTAGATTTTTTTTAAAGGTTTCCAAATAGGTTAAGCTGTTTTGTATTTGTGTATTAGTATAGAATTAATATCAGTGATTTTGATTTAGGTGAATCTAATACATCCATTTAATTTTTGAATTAAATAAAATTACTTATATAATTGTAATTACATTATCGATAATCATAAAATCAGATATAATTTGATTAATAGCTAAGTTTATTTGCCTAAAACATGGCATAAGAGATGATGTAGCAAGAGACAGTGTCAGTAGAAACATGTTATATTACATAACCATATATTAAACTACCACAACAATAAAAATTACACACAACAAATGGTCACAAGTTACAAATTAAATTTGCCAAGAATTATTAAATGTTATATAATGTTAGAGTTGTCAGTGAGGAAAATTCGGAAACGAGTGGATGGTTTTAAGGAACTGAGAATGCCTAGCAAAGTCTCTTGTTTACTCAAAATTAAATATAAAATTATTTACCAATAAATACGACGATGGAATTGCATTATCATGTAATCTAGTTACATTCAAAGTTCTATTAAAATTTGACTCTTCAAAATGGAGAGAACAAACCAAGCTGATATTTGACCCAATGTTTATGTTCGGCAATCCTATAATTTCCAACCATTCTTTCTTTCTTTTTTCATTTGTAGGTAAACTTTAAAAATAATAATAATGAAAAAATAAAAACCTCCTAGTGAATTATTGTAATAACAGAATATCGACAATATGTCTGCTTACAATAACAACACTATCTCAAAATAATCGTTATCAACTAAAAATATTCAAAATATACTAACAAACAGGCAATCTAAAGTAACCAAAGCAAAACTCGGCAAAACTTATGAATAAACTACTTAAATGAGTCTAAATACATGAGATATTTGGGCTATTGTATGATTTATAGACAAAAAAATAACACATTCGGTGTAATGTAACATTCGGTTGATTTCCGCCTTTTCTACTGCCGCACCCCTTAATGCCGCAGCGACGCATTTTAATCAATATTTAATTATTTTTTTTAATAATAATAATAACGCACACACTCGACATAGCCCCGCACTAGGGAAACCCTGCGTCGCGGGTGCCATGGACACACAAATAGACAATTACAAATTACACCTAAACTCACGAGACAAATAAATGTAGGCCATACAAATATTTCTCCCGGCCCGGGAATCGAACCTGGGACCGGCATGGTAACCGTTCGGCCACGGAGGCAGTTAATTGTTGTCACTGTCAATATTTTTGCCCAAATTTATTACAATTCATGCGAATAATTCAATAAAACATTTGGCCAAACATTGGTTTTGACATTTCATGTGCTTCCCTTTGACAACCGGATACGGATGTCAAAGGGTACTTCCAAAAATGGTAAAATGAGGACAGTTGCCGTTTAAGATGACGTTACGTATTTTCGATTCCCGTGTTTGAAATAAATCAATGTAGTGCTATCTCTTTTGGCTTACTACGGCACGTGGTAGTTAAACAAAGACAATAAAATGTTTATATATTTAATGTCTAAATGCATCATATACATATAATAAAACGTCTGATTTATATATGTCAGTATAACATGTCCTTTGGTTTCCATAGTCTAAGGGCCAGCGGTTCATATGATATATTTTCAACGTTAAATATGTCCATGAGTGTACATAATATCACTGCGTGGTTTTAACGTACATGTACAGTTTATATACATCTAAACTGTTAAGTTATTAATTGCAATCAGTACATTACAATGAAAGTTCAAGAACGCAATAATCAGTTTCCGTAAAACTTTAAATAACTCCGAAGCTTAGACTTTACAACATAGTACTACTGTACGTATCTGTATTTACATTTGGACGTACGTCAAAAAGGATCCAATGCACATCCAGTGACTTTCGAGATATGGCAGAATGAAGTTTAAATATGTTTCTCACGCTTGTTTTTTTCGAAACGTATTATGTCATGTAACTCCAGAGATATTTATTTATGTTTATATATTGGATTTTTTTGCTGATCTAAGAGGTTAGACTTTAGGAACCGTTTGGTACATACAACATACTTTTGATAATTTTGTGTACTGGATCCTTTTTGCTTAACTACGTCCATTTAAGACAATACCGACCACTATACCTATTAAACAGCGGTCTACACATCGTGCATATATAATGCCGTAAACCGCCTGGGTATTTTTTTATGATACCAAGTGATGGGACGAACAAGTCGTGGCCTGGTGATAAGCGACACACCTGTCCATAGCGGTTGCAGTGCCGCTGAGAGTTTTAAATCGCAAAGACCTGAGGGGCACTGCTACTGAGCCCGTCACACTGAGACATAAGTTGACAAGTGGCAAGTACCTGTAATTTCACCAGCACCTTATATCCTTAAAGATCGGAACGCAGTAATGTGAGCATTATTGGTTGGTGGCAGAATTAGGTAGTGGCAATATTTCCCTGGACGAACTTTTTCACAAGGAACTGTACTGCTACTATATTAATTGTTTTAAAGTGAATTTATAATAAATCAGAGCCGTACCTCGGACTCCTTTCCGCGCTTTCCGGTATTATGAACCGTGATTGTGAACGATGTCACATCTGGAGGGACGTCACTGAAACAATAAACCATCATGAACATTCTTCTTTTTCGCGTGTCGACTGTGACATTTAATAATAATAATAACGCACACACTCAACATAGCCCCGCACTAGAGAAACCCTAAGTCGCGGGTGCCATGAACACACACATAGACAACCACAAATTACACCCAAACTCACGGGATAAATAAATGTAGGCCAAACAAATGTTTCTCCCGGCCCGGGAATCGAACCTGGGACCTCTGCGTGGCAGTGCGGCATGGTAACAGTTCGACCACGGAGGCAGTTAACACAAAAATCGAACTCATAGAAAAAAATTCTTTGACAGGATGGGACTTGAACCCGCGACCATACTGCACCGTAGCATTGCTCTTACCAACTGAGCTACGGATCAAGTTATCGAGTTGTTGAAATTCCCCTACTTTGTACAGATATTTGTACTTATGAATATTTATGAATATTTTTCGGCATTCTACGCCCTATCGGGGCTATGTTGAGTGTGTGCGTTGTTTAATAATCATAATAACGATTGAAGGAAATAATAAAAAAAACTCACTCGAAAACAAACTCGTCGTCCCATCTAGGGTCCGGCGAAGGTCTCGGCTTAGTGCGCGCGACGGGTGCGGCGCCTAGCGTTAGGCGCAGGTAGGGCCGCGGCGCCAGGCGCACCGGCAAGCGGTGTGCGGTCAGGCAGCGAATGCGAAGCGCGCGTAGCCACACTACGCGAGGTACCTATGTAATAACAATAATGATCAGGCACACATAGTCGTCTTAGAGCGGTTACACAGCGGTTTAGCAGCAATGCAAACGCGATGCAATCGCTAATCGTCTACCTACACACGTGCGCGCGCTGCTTTCAATGCAAACGAGATACAAACGCGATACACGTTTTAAATTAATGAACTAATTTATTTATTTCATTAATTTAACTTTTTTTTTTTATTCAATAATTTCAAGTGACGGGACGAACAAGTCTGATGGTAAGCTACACGCCTGTCCATAACAGTTACTGTGCCACTCAGAGCTTTAAATCGCAAATATCTGAGGGGTACTGCCACTGCCCCCGTCACCCTGAGACATATGTTGATAAGTCCCATGTGCCTGTACTTTCACCAGCACCCTCAACCCTTAAAATTTTTAATTAACACTTTTAAATTTACAATTAATAAAACAAGATAATGTGCATAAATTTATACAGATTTTTCGTACATGATAATTCAACATAAGCGACTATATAGATGCAGTCGCGCGTTTGTGTCGATGCAATCACGCGTTTGTATCGATGCAGTCGCGCGTTTACATCGCTGTGTGTAACTCCACCACTCTTAGAATGAATACCTCGTATGTGATCAGATTTCTACGTAATTTTTCAGGACGAAGATTAAAAATGTGGTGTAAAATGTAGTAAACGCAATAATGTTTGTAGTTTAGAATTTTAATTAGTTAAATTATACCCTTAACATACACTATATTTTTTAATAATATATTTCAGCAAGAAGTTTATAAGTTTTTCTTCGACATAAATCCGTAAAAACGAACTATGTGAATACGCGTATGCGAGGTTTTCACTCGTGGCGGAACGGAATGGAAGGGAATTTTTGTAACAATTGTACATTATAAAATAATTGTACATTATAAAATAATTGTACATTGCATAATGAACTTTATGGTCAATAGTGTAAGTTACAAACTAGATACGACCCAAAATCTTCCGCGGAAGATGCGAGCATTCTCGAGCATCCGTTCCGCCGCAATATAAATTGAGCCTAAGGCGACGATATGGGATATGACCTCCACTGAAATTATCTTAAAGGTTTTGCCAGCAAACGAGTTAATTTCAGACAGCCTCGCTAACAACTTGAGGCGGTAAGATTTCTGTGATGTGTCGTTTCCAGCACAAACGTCTTTCTCGATGCGATCCTTGAACCTGCGAGCCCCGGCTGATAGTGTCATCGCTGAGGAATACCTCCCATGCCATTTAAAATTCAAACATGTTTCATTATTATTTTTCTACTAGATATACAAAGAGACTAATGTAGCAGAGGTTTGCGTATAATGCATATACCGGTCCTAACTACCAGTATTAAAAAATCCTGTCAAGTGAGATATTTTAGCTTAGCTAGTCAGGGGTTTTAATAATCCAAAGGCAAGACGAAAACTCCCATGTGCCAATTTTATATGATTTTGGAGAAAACTTACTTCAAAGTTCTTCGATTTGTATACTTAGAAATTACAAAAATACATATTATTATATATATTTTAATATAATTTTAACAGACTTAAATGTATCCGTAACTGAAAATCGATGCGTAGGCATTGAATGATGCTACGCTAGTAATAATAATTATTATATATTTAGTTCATTCGTTCAGGGCCTACAGGGTAGAAGGCCAGCTACATCCGTTACAGATATAGATTTTGAATAAATGGCACGATCAACAAGATAATAGAGAATTTTTATTTAACATTTCTCATTCTAGTTAATCCTTTCTGGTAATGATCAAGTCTATACGAATAATTAATATTAAGGTTAGAATACTAAAAATGTCAGAAATCTCGCCCTGTTCTTAGCATTATTTGCTTGCTTAGCAAACGTGCACAGGATATAATTAGTATAGAAATAATTATTTGTTGTTTTTGCATACACAACATTCTTACCTTGCACTGATGGCGTGCCTGTTGCGGAACGCATAGTGGACGTAAAGCGTCCAGCCAGGCGCGTTCCTCAGCCGCGCTGTTTGCAGCTAAGAAGGTGTGCGTAGAAAGGCACGGCAGAGCTCGCTCTACCAGTTGGAAACAGAACTCACGGTCCCACAGGGATTCGTGAACCTGAAATTATGGAATTCATTTATTAAAAAGGAAATGGAAGACTAACCAGTTATTATTATTTTTTAATGACAACTGAAAACGGGTCAAAAGTCTCTTGTTGACATTTGAAATAACTGTATTACACAACAGCAACAAATAGTTCTCAAATTAGGCATTTCCCAGTACAATGAGTACCAGAAATTATACGATTTAAAATATAATATAGTTATGTTACTAATCCGTGGTTTCCGCTAATATTTCTGAATGTTGATGACATAACCACCGGATAAACAAAAACGATAAGGGCACTATTTAAATAAATACTATGTTATTTTGTAAAGGAAATAAAAATTATCAAGCGCTTGTTATTTTAATTATAGATTTTCCCGTATGATTTTCACACACAACTATGTCGGTATTTGACTCAAATACAAAGTTGTTAAGGATACAATCTGGGGAAATCACGTAGTGTTCTCTTTAGCGTGACACCACTATGCTGGTTTATCTTGTTGGTTCCAACCCAACAAAATTAATTACATAATGTTAAAGATATCTAAGATTACCAACACTGTACAGTATCATCCCTGACCTTTACATTGGCCAACTATAATATAGTCGAGAGACCCAAGATATGAATACAATCTAACAATCTTTGTTTTAATTTTACCTATTGGTGATCCATATAGCGTTCAAAACACAATGCAGATTTGAATCTCTACTATACACAAAGTGTGTGATATAATGTAAAAAGTGACGTGATCTTTGTGTAAAACTTCTAATTTCTTTGTTCCAAATGGAAATACATAAACTTCTAGAAATTTGCGATATTTATTTTATTGAATATATATAGGTATATTTACTACCATGATATTGACATATTTGTTGTGAAAATACACCAGTTGGTTTTTTTAAAATATAAATTACATTATTCGTTCCAGTGGACCACCTTTTTTTTGCCTGGTTCGCCTCAAAACTTATATTGGTCGTGGTCCACCTCAAACATTTGATCAGTTTGAATAATTGCCCTTGGTCCACACAAGTAGATTCCCCGACCCGGCTGGACTCGAACCAGGTACATTTTCGGCAAACCGGGGCTATGGCTCCCCCAACCGAGTTACAGAACGAGTCAAAACCTTACGAATTTCTCTATGAGCTTGTTGCAAATCTTTGTTCTTCTGTTTTAATGTTTTTATTTGCCGTAGGGATATCTATAAAAAAACCTGTTTCTTCACTCAGGCAGGAAATATCGGCTATCTTCTAGAATTACCGGATTGCAACTACGGGTAGTAAACACGTCCATGTTTTTGCATATATCAACAACAACTCTAAAACCAGGAAACAGAGGCCAACATTCTCTGTAAATTACAATTTTCCACTTCCACTGGCATTGTTATTCAATTAACAATTTAAGGGAGTCCCCACATTAATCGACAAGGAATACGTTTGAGCCAGTTAGAAAAAGTTTTAAGTCCATGTAATAATAGCGAAAAAGACGTTGGGCGTTTCGCGAAAAGCGGAAAATAAATGGACATAAAGATTTTTCAGACCACCTCAAGCCGATTCTACATTAACAAGTGTGATGAATCCCTAAATAGAAGCCGTTTTGCATATTAGACGTTGACAATGCGTACGTACCTGGTACAAATAAGCGCAAGACAAATCAATTAATCCTTTTGGCTTCGTTCTCTTCGGCGAATCGTAGAAATACAAATGTGTATCAGTACCTTCCTGCAGGAGTACAAAGTACAACGCCTTCCACTTCTTAGCTCCTTTATCAGATTTCTTGTTAAGATATCCCTGGTGTTTTATTCCTTTCATCTTCTTTAGACCAATCTGATCTCTACATTCTCGTAATGTTGCATATATCTTTTCTGCGGCGGCGCCTGTGGTGTTTTGTTGGGGTTCTATTTGGTGACCTTCAGCTATAAGCTGCAAGAATTATATATACTCTTAAATAAGTGCTCTACAAGAAAGCTGCATTTTATAAAACATTGTCCTCATATCGTTATTAAACAGTCCAATGATATCGTTTGCTAATACTGGCATCGAATATCCTAAAATACTGTATTTTTTAAAAGCATTATCATAAAGTTGTTAATTTGGTGTACAAGTGTAGGAAGTTATTATTGTATGTATATATGTAAGAATTTTCTTACTGGTTGTCCCAAAGTATGTCCTTCAACAATCTGCTCCTTCCTATATCGATTAATCACTGCATCCAGACACTCAAATGTGCGTCCGCCCATGAGATACCTTACTCCTTTCTTCTCAATTCTAAACCTTTGTATCTGATTGTTTATATGAAAGAAAAGCGAATAATCCCCTGGAGAGTTGTCGGAGGGTCGGACAAGGAAGCTACCTGGGCCCGCTTTCACCAACATGTCAACTGCTTCGCTCTTAGTGCAATTCGGATGGAACCAAGAAAACACCGTGTTTGGATCGATTGAGGGGTCCAGGTCTTCGACAAGTTCTCGAAATATCATGCCTTGTTCTCCCGTTCTGAAAGCAAAATTTCAATAAGTTATAATTTGAAACGATATTAAAATTTTAATGGTTATCGTTTTTCGATATCATAAGGAAGTTATTAAAAGTGAGAAAATGCTCCGTCTCTATTAGCAATACAGTCCTAAGTACACAAAGTATGACGTCACAAATAATTATTGAAGTGTCTACTTCATTTCTGGGACCTAACCGTCGTACTTGCACGCCAGTCTAATATCACTGGAAAATGTCAAATCGTATATATTAGGGGTTAAAGTATGAAGTTGCCGTTTTATTGCAATAGGTTCTTTGAATTTTCATAGAATCCTCATGGTTTGAGGTTTTCGAATGAAACTTTTTTCAAATGGTTTCTGTGATTTTTTTTTTTTTAATTTGAAACATTTGAATATCGACTTTCAATTGTTTTTGTTATTCAATTTAGACAAGAAAGATGGATACTGCGAAAATTCGAGTGATTTTTGAATACGAGTTCCGACGCGGAACTAACGCGGCAGAAACAGTCCGCAATATCAATGCTGCGTTTGGAGAGGGGTCTACTAATGAACGCACCGTGCGATTTTGGTTTAAACGCTTTCGTGATGGAAATTTCGACTTAAAGAACGAGCCACGAGGAAGACCGCCCACACAGGTGAATAACGATGAATTAAGAGAGATAGTGGAAGCCGATCCTAGTCAAACTACCCAGGAATTAGCGGCATGGTTTAACGTTACCTTACCCACAATATTGACTCACTTGCGTCAAATCAATAAAATAAAAAAATACGAAAAATGGGTGCCTCATGATTTGACTGATCTGCAGAAAGAAACGCGTGTTGAAACTTGTGTTGCCTTGTTGAACCGGTACAGAAATGAAGGAATATTGGATCGAATTGTAACATGTGATGAAAAGTGGATTCTTTATGATAACCGGAAAAGAAAAATGCAATGGCTGACCCCAGGTCAAATGCCACAACAGTGTCCTAAAGCAAAACTTACCAATAAAAAGGTAATGGTAACTGTTTGGTGGTCTCAGCATGGTGTTATTCACTATAGTTTTCTCCGGTCTGGTCAAGCAATAACGGCAGATGTCTATTGTGCCGAACTCCGAACCATGTTGACAAAACTAGCAGTAAAACAGCCCCGACTCATGAATCGATCTTCACCATTATTGCTCCACGACAACGCAAGACCTCACACAGCACGAGAAACCATTTTGACCCTTCAGGAACTGCAGTTAGAAACCATTCGTCATCCTCCGTATTCACCAGACCTTGCTCCAACGGACTACCATTTTTTTCGTGATTTGGACAATTATCTACGTGACAAGAAGTTTTCTTCCCAGGAGGCAGTACAAAATGCTTTCACACAGTTTGTGCAGTCTAGATCGTTGGAGTTCTATCGCAAAGGCATTAATAACCTTCCCATTAGATGGCAGCAATGTATAGATAATAATGGCAACTATTTTGATTAAATAAATTTGTTAAAAATTTAAAAAATAAACAATTTAGATTTTCAGTACAAATTGGCAATTTCATACTTTAACCCCTATTATTAATTAACAACATTCTCTGAATTTCAAGTTCTGAAATTGAGAAATGAAGCGCCGCCGGTACAAATACAGCCGGATCGAAGGAATTTTTCTTAGTTTTCTAGTAATTTCACAAAAAATAATTAAATATAAAAACTGATTGAATGTAAAACATCGTTATACTAAATATACTTAAATATATTTAATTGCCTCCGTGGCCGAACGGTTCCCATGCTGGACTGCCACGCAGGGGTCCTGGGTTCGATTCCCAGGCTGGGATAAATCTGTGTATGGCCTACATTTATTTCTCTCGTGAGTTTGTAAATGACACCAGCGACACAGGGTTTCCCAAGTGCGGGGCTATGAGTGTGTTGCGTTGTTATTATTATTATCACTTAATAATTGATTCGGACATGCAAATATTAGACTTTTTACTCTGAAATTAAGCTTGTTTTTAGGTTAGACTGTTAGAGTATTATTTTCTGAATCCCTGTAACCATTTATTTTTCAATGAATTTCCATTCTGTTTTCACATTACGTGTCAAGCAAAACTAATTTAAAATTGTGACGAAAATGAATAATATACATTACAAAACAGGACATGAAGGTTTGAATCAAGCTATGTCACTATTTTTTTCCTTAAAAACTGCGTTAAATACTTATCGTGCCGATTTATCCATAAATTTTAGGCGACTTACGGGAAGAGAACCGGAAAAAACTTTTTTGCTAGATCAAAATGGTTTAGGTGTGCACTATAAATAACGGTCTTTAAAAAAATATACGATACACCTAAGGATTTGTCTAAAGAACATACTGACTCGTTACACGATAAGGTGTACTTTACCCGATCATACAAAATCCCAAAAACAGGCTAAAATAAAAGTATAAGACGGATTATTTAAGAACAAAATATATAAAAATTATGTGCAAAGTTATCTAACTTTGTACATAATTTTTATATGTAGATATTTATCTTTAAGTACTATAGAGAACCTGCAAAATTTTGGTTTTAAACTGAAGCCCTATAGTTATTAAATCCATATTACTCCCAAAACTTGAAAATTGCTCAGCGGTTTAACGACACGTCGTGCCGTCAGCTGCCCCGTCAGTCGCCATCGGGCGCTTATCAACGACGGATCCGTGTCAATTTTTCTCCGCCTGTTCTTATTTTATTCATGTTAATTTTCAGCGCGCGGATTGCTGGACTCGAGGGGCGGCCCCCCACATCCTAAAATCTCGACTCGCGTTCAAATACATCGCCTTAAATACAAACCACTGTATAAGCGTGGTTTGCTGCAATATCATTTAGTATGAGTAGCTTTTAAGACTTACCTATGAGCCGTAACCCACAACCACCCATCGCCCATGTCATTGTGCACGAAAAAAATATCTCCCTTTTGGAATGTAAGCTCGTCTGTGTCCGGCATTTTCGTGTATGGAAGTATAGCCACCACTCTCTGTAAAAAATGATAAATAAATACGCGTGAAATATGTTATTCTAATTAAATTCAAAAGCCACCCGCGGCAAACCGACTGTGAACTGGCAATCGGTACTATCCCAAATTTGACAACTTTACAGGATGAAGAAAATAAATTTTTGCATTATTTACATAGCACCTGGTTTATTAAATAAAAATACGTAGTTTTTGAATATTTTTATTACTCATGTATGTATGTGCACTGCGTATTTTTATTTAATAAACCAAATGCTATATAAATGACTTTTTTCTTAATCCTGTAAAGTTGTCAAATTTGAGATAGTACTGGTTGCCAGTTCACAGTCGCAATGGCTATTTCGATCCAGAATGAAGTTCGCAAAAGGTCCACCCGTACACAAACTTCATGCTGCAAGTTGTGGTTGCCGTGTCTTTCTTTGGCATCGAGAAACATGATAATTAATCATAAGTACAGTTAATTTATTCATTAGTTTATATGCTTAACTATTTTCTATGCGCTGTTTCCCAATGGGTACATAAATTAAGAGAAACTACACTTTAAAAATACAGAAATAAAATTACAACAATCGCTCTAATACAAATTTAAGTTGTACCGTTATCTAATGTATACACCCGACTGAATAACGATGATGCCCTATACACAATGGCGTGTTGCGACACATTACTATGCACATGCGACTTGTCAACTCATGTTTCAAGATGACGCACCTAGTGGCAGTGATCTTTGTGATTTAAAGCTCAGAGTGGCACTGCAACTGTTATGGACAGGCACGCATACCACGCATGCAAAACACATGTTCATCCCGTCACTTGGTACCATACAAAAAAATACAGCGCATAGCGTCAAAATAAGCTGCTATCGCATCAGAACATGAGTTTAAATTTATATTCTATTGCTATTCAAAAATCAACCTTATTGGCCAATCTTCGGCTTAAAGCAGCGAAAGAAATGCGCCTGTAATAAACATACCTTTTTATCGTTAACAGGTTCTGGAGGTGGTACCGGTTCTACAAGTCTCTCCCGTTTCAACAGATCAGAGCAATGGCTGTAGAACCCCACTAACTCTGCCAGGGAATCGAATTGGCGACCACCGATGTAGTAGTCGCCGCATACCGCTGTTATTCTACGCAATAAAGATATGGTCATTATTGTACGCCTCGTTAATGGTGATCAGCCTCCATCGCAAAAGTCATACAATAAAAAAAAATTACTTCTTATTTCTTTCACAATTATTTTAAAACCGCAATGGCATTAAACGGGAAAAAGATACGTGTGATGTCACCCATAGTAATACCAATAGATTGCGCCGGCATATAACAGCTGTGAAAAAACAGGAAAGCTTTTATAACGAACGGTGTAGATTGTGGATTAATGTATACGGTCGAATTGGTTGAAAAATGCATTTTTTAAATAATGAATACGACGATTTACGACATAGGACAAGGTGGATTTGAAGGTCGCGCACGCTGTTCGCTCTGCATCATCGTATATGGGTTTGTGTATGTGCAGCATGTATATGCTGCGTTTTAACAGCAACCCGTATAAAATTCTATACTAAAGGGTGATTCATTTGGAGGTAGTATTTTCAAAACTAAAAAAAATGTAATAAAAATAAATTTATTGGATTATCTTTATTATCATACAAAAAAAACCATTCTTTACATTTATTTTTTAAATATTATTTCTCGGATAGGCTGTAACTGTGGTTTGGGGAATAACGCGAGTAATGTTGGCTTCCAGTTGCTCAATCGTACCCGGCTTATCCGACGACACGCGGGTTTTTCTCTGCAAGTGCCATGCGTCGAGGGACTGTTCTCAAATGACCGGTACAGTGAAGTGGGATACCAGAAACATTTACAGTACCAAATGAAGACAGATTATTTCTAACATACATTATAACTTCGTATAAGTAGAGTGAGTAGTGCGTCATTATGCGCTGCGCTACAAAGAGATTTCTGCAGGAATGTCTGTGTTATACCCCAACCAATACGCGTACGGCACGTTTTTGCATTAGCATGACTCTATTGGCATCCGTGGAGTTACCCCATATGAGTGAACAGTACGACATCAGCGAGTGGAAATATGCAAAATAGACCTGTCTTAATGCAGAATCAGAAATAAGCAATTTCAGTTTACGCAACGTAAAGACTGCACCACTATCACACAGTCTGTCAACATGGCACTTCCAGTTAAGTTTCGAGTCCAGAGTGAAGCCAAGGAACCTACTCTCATTGCATATCGGCATCGGATTGCTTGCTACACTCGGAGGAACTGTGAGACCTCGACCCGAGAAAACCATGATGTTGGATTTAGTGGTATTCAGCAGCAACCCATTCGATGAAAACCACCTGTGATATATAGATTTTGGACTTTACATAGCCTCAAAGGAAAAGTCTAGGGGTGTGATGTCACAAGATCTAGGCGGCCAACTCACCGGTCCGAAGCCTGAAATTAACTGTTCACCAAATTGTTCACGCAATAAAGCCATGGTTTAACGTGATGTATGGCAAGTGGTGCCGTCTTGTTGGTAATGTCCTGGTGATCACGGGCTTCAATTTCAGGAAGGAAATAGTCCGTTATCATTGCACGATAACGGTCACTATTGACCTAACCCTCGAGCCTCCACACGCAAAATAGGCGCTTTGTCGTCGAGTTGCGGATACCAGCCCGTTGCACCAAGTACCAACCCTCGAGCCTCATCGGGCTCGAGGGTTATGTGAGATATGCATATAGCATATCCCCCCGTTAAAAAAAATTCTGCCGACAAGCTGTAATGTGAACATTACTGCGTTCCGGTTTGGAAGGGTAAGGTGGTCCATAAAATCTTTACGATTTAAAGCTCTAAGTGGCACAGCAACTGTTATGACAGGCGTGACGCTTACCACCAGGCGCACGACTTGTTCGTCCCGTCACTTGATATTATAAAAAAACATTGTTTTGGGTGAGCTGCAATTCCTACCCTTAGTGCATTAGACAACTTTTCAGGAGAGGTCAAAGATTGTACGAACGAAATTGGTCGATTAATATGTTAAGTTTATATTGGTAGAGTTATAAAATTACATAACGTATACATAATTTCTTTCACGTAGTCCATATTATTCACGATTTTCATGTAATAAAAGCACTTTAGATGTATGATCATATGTGGCTTTATTATACTATACCACAGACGGATAGTACAGATTATCGATATATCATCGTCGAAAGGGGTTTGGATTTTCTTTGGTGTGAAGATATATCTTCACATTTTAAACCCTTATTTGGTACTGAAACATTCTAATTGTAAACAATACTCAATTGATGTAAATCTTGTTTTTTTCAAGGACTAAAAGTGATGTGATTGAATATAATTTGTATAGAAATATAGAATATTAGAAAGTTTATAGGCCAAAATTTTTTGGATACTGTGATTTTTCATTTACATGGTGGTGAATTCCTATAATAAACTGTAGAGGAACAGCACGTCGCCTTTATGTTAACGTAAAGAATATTGATATTATGATTTATTTGACTATGCCACAACTTAAATAAATAACGGATTATGATAATTGTATAATAAAAATAAATATTATTCATATTATTATTTATCTTCTTTAACTATAGACGAAACTTAAATAAATAATGATTTTCTAATTATTATGATATGATATACTGTGTGTTTAATAAATATTATTCATATACCTAAATCTGAATCACAATTATGGTTCAGATTTAAATAAAGACTGTTCTTATACTACTGTCATTTACTGGATGAACTCTGTGTCGAGCCGTCTCCCGTGGCAATGTTACGCTCCATCGTGGTTTTTAACGCTTTAGTTTTTACCGTGTCAAGTGCAATTAACCCAATATACACTGGTTCGCTGTACGTACCCACACTTGGCGAAGTGTGGCCCAGACCTCAAACGCAAATCAAGTTCAGGAATTTGTACATTTTCGACCCGCAAAAATTCAAAGTAGCGATTATGAAAGATAAATGTGCAATATTGGTAGACGCACTCAATCGATGTTTATTCAATTTAAATACTCTTCAAAAAATTGTCGTGAAGTATGGCAACAAATCGGAGAGTGAAGCTGATAAGGAGAAAAAACAGCCGATACAAAAACTAAACGTGGAGCTGATGAATGAGTGCGAAGAGGAGCCACATCTCGGAATGGAAGAAGCCTATAATCTCGAGGTATCGTCGACTTCTACACTACGTAGCGCTTCAATCTGGGGCATCATAAGAGGCTTAGAAACTTTTTCGCAACTATTTTTCGTAACTCCCGACTTCACGGAAGTATGCATATATAAAACTGTAATCTATGACCATCCGCGTTACTCACACCGAGGTCTTTTAATCGACACTTCAAGGCACTTTCTTTCTTTAACATCTATACTCGTGACTATAAAAGCGATGGCTATGAATAAAATGAACGTACTTCATTGGCACATGACGGATGACCAAAGCTTCCCTTTTCAGAGTGAAATTTTTCCAGCGTTGAGTCGTCGAGGTGCATTTCACTCGTCAATGGTGTACACAAAGAGCGACATCTTAAAAGTAATCAACTACGCTCGATATAGGGGCATTCGCATAATACCTGAATTTAGTGTTCCATCGCACACTCTTTCGTGGGGTGTCGCGTTTCCACGCATCCTGGCAGAATGTTACAACGAGAACCAACAGTTACTAGGCCGAGGAACTATGAATCCGATCGAAGACGTCACTTACAGATTAATACGTTATTTATTTTCTGAACTACAGGAAGTATTCATAGACAAATATTTCCATCTCGGTGGTGACGAAACTAATTTTCCTTGTTGGGAATCTAATCCGACGATAAGGAAATACATGAAAGACAAGGATATGAGATCTTATGATCTCTTAGCGCACTTCTTCAAAAATACTTTTCCCCTGCTGAAAAATTCTACTTCCTTTATAGTTTGGCAAGACGTATTTGAAGAACACGTACCTCTAAACTTCGATACGTTAGTGCAAGTGAACAAAGGTCACGGTGAAGCTATAGTGAAACCGATACTAGAGGGATACCACGTGCTGTACTCGTCAAATTGGCATTTAGACCGACAGGACACGTTTGACGACTTTTACAGGCAGGATCCTCAAGAGATGGTGATGGAAATCACAAATAAAAATTGGGCTGCCAAATATGTCCTCGGAGGTGAAGCTTGCATGTGGGGAGAGAAAGTGGATGACCAAAATTTATTTAGTAGAGTATGGCCTCGCACTTGCGCAGTGGCGGAAAGACTATGGAGCTCTGCTGAGAAAGACGACCAGAAATTGGTAGAAGTAAAATATCGACTCGAAGAACATGTTTGTCGAATGAATCGACGCGGGATTCCGTTGCAACCTGAAGGTCCCGGATTCTGCGTAATTTAGATATATATAATCTACTAATAATATGTCCACTCTCCTCTCACTAACACGTACGTAACTAAGACGTACGGTCTTACGCAATAAAACTTTTGTCCCAGAAAATTTTGTCTAATGTCAGTTGGTTAGTCAAGAGAAAGACGATATGTCGACCTACCAAGAAGCCAGAGCAATAAATCTATTTAATCAATAAGTATAAACTAAAAAAAACATTATGTTTGTATCATAAAATATGCTATTACATACTAAATCTATAATGAAAATGTATAAAGTATAAGATACGTAATATGACAACACCGAAAAGACAAGACAATATTGAACACTAAGTATTAAAGTTATCACAAATAACTACGGAGATTACTATAAACTTTTACTGACGGTTCCAAAGGTGCAAATGGCGTAGGAGCAGCCTTTTTTAATCCATAACTAAGTGTACCTCTTAAACTAAGATTATGTCAGGAGTCTTGTATAATGAGAGCAGAGTTAACTGCAATAGTAGAAGCTCTATACTTTGCGGACTCTGTACTCCTAATGTTATTCTTATCAGATTCTAAAAGTATACTACAACATTTTAGTCCGATGTGTTTTGGGAGGCTAAGATGTGCCCATAGCTTATGAAGCTTTGAGATTAACAGTTAATTTACTGTCCAAGAATATGTATATCAGGCTGCAATGGATTCCATCACACATCGGACAAGAAGGCATCAAATAGTAGATAAATTAGTAAGTGAGGCTATCACCGAGTCCACGGAACCATCACGTAAACCTCTTGTTGCAGAAAACATCCCATTTGTAAGAAACCTAAGCATGGATATGTGGAGTAAGATCTATGGCGAGATTTCTGCAGTGGAAGGAATTTGTTATAAAAGTGTTCAAGTGCGTCCACCGCAAAAGTCCTGGTTTGAGGACAGCACACTTTCTAGAAATGCATTATTCATAGCTTTTAAACTTCGTGCTGGCCACTTTCCCTTCAATAAGTTCTATCATCTAATAAAAAGAGCGGAATCTCCGCTATGTAAATTTTGTAACAAACTTGAAGATATGCTATATTTGATAGAATGTGACCATTACGTGGCTATGAGAAGCCAATTTCAATTAGGGGATATTTGGCAGGTTGGGGAGTTAAATGTTGTGTTCTTTGACCCGTTGGCGAAGAGGGCTAAAACTCTGTAATCATATGTGAGGTCTTGCCTATCACTACGAGGCGACACGATAAAATAGCATAATCCACAGGGATTGACATCACAAGGCCGACATTGACTCCCAAGCGTTGCAGGCCTTATTAAAAATAAGATATTTTTTTTAAATCCTAAATCTTTGGTTTATATGTTTATTCAACTTATTTCCTTTTCTGTTACTTTACATTAAATTGCTTTTAGTTAACACTTTCTGATTATGCACAATGCATTCGATCATAACGGCGAGAAAGTAATAGAAGCTTATAATACAATTTAAATTACCTGAAATGATTTATTCCGGTGCGGCCCAAATAACTCAGTACGTATGAGCCAGGTTTGCGATCACTTTCCCGAACTGAAAGAAAGAAATCATATTCAAATGTCTTTCTTATTTAATCTTACTGAAAATCTTGTTAAAAGATCAGGAGGATCAGGAGCGTTTCTTCAGCGTTGGGAAGGAGATTTCCCCAACAAGGAAGAAAGAAAATAATATTTATTTGGTCTCATTTTCTTATAAGTAGTATATCTCAATATAAAGTAAACCTTAATACTAAACATTGAGATCCAAAATATCGCACTGCCAAATGCGTCCCAATTTCTATCAGAGACTAAAGAGTTTCCCCAAATGTAATTAAAGCACACTCTAGATTAACCAAAAGAAATATCTTTATGTAAAAAAGACCTAATCTAACACTTCAAATATTGATATGAGATATAAAATCCTATTTATGTGATTATCTTATTTATTTATTGTTCGTTTTATTTAATTCATAACGAAAACTTGTTTGACCAAAAAATAATAAAATTAATATTCGCCTGTCAAGAGGAATTAACGAATAAAATTAGATGGAATAGGATGTAAAAAGCTGTGGAGAAAGTGAACAAAATAAAAAGTCTTCCCTGTACAAAATAACAAAATACAAAACATTGTGGGAACATGCTAGACTATTGTGTTTTGTACTTTGTTGTATAATAAGTATGTTAGTTAGTGATTACACAATGAGAGGTGGGAAAACATTTTGTTCTGGTGAGGTTTTATAAAATGTATGTACAGCATAAAGATATGCGCCAATCATAAAAACTTCAGCGGCGGCAGCGACGTCGTTATTGACGTGAAATAAGCGTGGCATATAATTTTTAGTTATAAAAAACACAGTAAAAGCATTGAAATCAGCTTTGTATTTCAATGTTTTTTCTACTTTAACTTGTACTTTAGCAGGTATAAAGGTACTGTAAGTAAAAAAATCCACTGAAAATATGTTTGTAAAATATGGGAAAATAATTCATTTCAAACAAATGGTCGCCACGCCGATTTTACACCGGCGACAACGCGGCGCACATCTCACCTCACATCAGTACAGCATAAGCGAAGCGACGATTTCATTTGGGCTTTATCATTGAGACACGATTAGTACGATATGGAATTCCAAGCAACAATACAATGTCACTTAATGATAAGTGACAATATGGCCCATGGTACGTCGTGTAGTAAACACTTATTCGGTTAGATTCATTGTGAATTTTTTTATCTATTCAAAATGTGATTCTACAATCGTTTCTTGATGTCATCATAATACAAAGAACAATGTTGTTGTTATATAAGGGTAAACATTTTTAATGCCAAATTATTCAGCTTAAAAAAATAATATACAAATATCTTTATTTACTTTATATGATTACAATAAAGGTCAACATCCACACTTAGGCTAAGGACAGCATTTCAAGATGCATTAATTGCCGGTGGCTACCACTCTAGGGAAACTCCGTATTGTGGGAGCCAGGTGTTGTAAAAAGTGTTACAATTTAATATGATTGGGCAAGTAACCAACGGATGGTTGGAATTGATTATTTAAAGTACTATTATAAATGACTATTATAAATGAAAATTAATTAAAATATATAACATAAGTACGCCGAATAAAAGATGCAAAAACATTTGAAACAACAGTATCAATAAAAATAGTGTGTGTACATGTGTTGTGTATGATGGGTGTGCAGACATTAACCTATTATTTTGAGTAGGTGTTCAGTGTCTTGGTAGGATAGTTCGAGTAACCAGTTGTTAAGCAGGACCTTGGCTTTGATATAAAAAGTAATAATCACATGTTTTATAATCTATGATGAATAACTTGTAATAGTAATCATTATTATAATATCATTAATATATGTTTGAAAATTAAAATGTTCTGTTAATTTTTAAGTTAGTGTTAATTGCTCGTGGCAACATTATATCTTATATGTATATTATGGTAACTGTAACTCATTTGTTTTGTTCTTTTTCTACTTCTACTTCAAAGCATTGCTATATTTGACATAGCTGCCTCCAAGTGTTTGTGTACTATTACCTGAACTTCTTTGTGCAAATCCACATGCACCTTCCATTGTATCTAATGTACATAGGAAATCCTCAGATTTTCCCTTACATTGCCTTCCTTCAATCTTACCTCTATTATGTATTTAATAAAAAACAAGTATTGCACAGATTGCCAACATGTTTTATCTTCTGATGTCTATGGCATTCATGATTTTATCAATTCTTTAATAATACAACTCCATAAACAATAACAAGACATACAATTAGAAGCATTCTTACCTAAATAGCTTCCATGTTTGCCAGCGGCCCATAGGCGTTCTTCAGAAGTATATCTGTCCAGCCTTCCATGATACCATTCTGTCTCTGGAGGAGCTAGTATTGCTTGACGTTCTCCTGGTACAAAATTATGTCTATAGTTATTTCATTTACTTTTAAAACGGAAAACCCTCCTATGATATGAAATTTGTGAAATATTTTTTCTTACTTCTATGTCATTCCTTAGACATACAGCCAGATCTATAGAGTAAGGTTGAATATTTTAATTCAGCAACACATATTGCTTAATTCAAAAATATTATATTTAAAGACTCACTGTTTTTGTAAAATGTGTTTGAAGAGGATAATGTGATAATTTACATTAATTCCTGGGTTTTCTAGCTAGTCCAAGAGTGAATGCTATTGCTCTGGTATTCATAGTATCAACCACTACTATGAATACCAGTCTTTTTTTTGCATTACCTTTTTGCACTGCAATTCATACATTTTTGCATTGTAATTTCCATAGTTGAGACTAGTTATTTGGCGTAGTTGTCTGGCACATTATTATCACTCCTTAAATAATTATTGTAATGATAATTACTAACAATGTTGTTCATCTGTTTCTGTTTCTAAGTCTGTTTCTGTTTACAGTCTGTTTCTTCTGTTGTCTGTGTCTCATCTGTTTACAGATGAACAACAAACATAATTGATCCATGCTCCTTTTAAAAAATTATAGTGTAATGAAAATGATAAAATTTACACGATAAGTTTACTAAAAAAACGTGATACCTACGTCAAACATTTATAAACTGACAAAATGTACTTAATCAATATAGTTTTTGGTTTATTACCATTAGTACTAGGTCCATCTGGTTCATCCAGCTCCAGGTCAACAGCCAGTTCTGCAATGTCTCCGCCACCATCCTCGGATTCCGTGGAAGGTGATCCCAACTTATCCTTCACAGGGGGTCCGATAGGTCCCATCACACGTATCAAATCAGCCATATTTTCAACTAGCTTACACAATACTCAAACGGCTCACTTAAATTCGTCCGGGCAACGCCAATGACTCACACATTATTCAAATCCAAACCACCGCAAAAATCCCAACAAAATCTCCAGAACGTGTTTACAATAGAAACAAAAAGTGTATGCTATCGAACTACCCCAAACACACCTTTATATTGGCGGAAAACCAGATCCCTAGAGAAATTAATACAATCGATGTACACTACACCTATACTAGCTGCGTATTAGAAGACAAAAACTTGAATACTTTGCTTCTTTAAGAGTAATTTTCATAGAAATTATCTTCATCGATACGCCCGTCCACAGATGAAAATAGATTTTGAAATTGACAGAAGCAGATTGCGTTGCCTTGCCATTTCAAAACATAAAAAAGTAATCCCGGTATCTCATCATCATAGACAAAGATATTTTGTATTTTACAATTTAATTGTGATTTCTCGATGTATCTGTTTGCATTTACGTGTATTAATGATATTAACAAAAGTTAATATGTATCAATAATTAAATACTGTCCACCATAAAATAAAAGTAGTAGCCGACATTCTCGTGAAGTACGGTTCTTTTCCCCATTGTACCATAGCAGCGCCCTCTACATTCTTTGGTGCAAGCAGGAGTGGAAAGAATATTCATTTGCTTCACTTCTAGGATTTTGAAAAAACTGTCGGCAAAGTTAATATTCGTGACCAGACAATATGCATGGTTGTGTCTGTGGGGCAGTTGACACACTTACTCTTGACTACACTTGACATTGTTAGTTTAATTCAATTATTTATTAGTTAAATTAATTCTTTTGATTTGTATATGTGCACTATTGTGTACTGTGACTTCTTATTATATAATTATTTCTCATTGTTTTGTAAACTAACGCTCACTTCGCAGAGTAGTATGAAATTACATTTAGTTGTATTTGCATGAAATTGAGCAATGTTGAGAGAAATAAACTAAACTAATTAAATTCTCAAACAAGGTGAAAGTAGAATCTTTCTTCTTATCTTATCGATATTATAATGCTTGCCATTGTGGCGAAAGTATTTGCAAATCGACAGCGTAATGTACTCGCCGATTGTTGCCCAGTGTACATCAAACACGAAAGTAAAAATCACGTCAATCAAATCAATTAAGTTTGATTAATATTTGTTTTAAGTTTAATGTGATATTTAATTTTAATTCCTTTGTTATTGGCTTTAGGATCAGTGTAATTCGAATTTATTATATTCGAATTACGCAAGCTATGAAATATTATTGATCGTAAATGACCAGAGAATAATAACATAATTAACGGCTTTCTAATATCTGCCAAGAAAAGATTAACCGAATTGTTGAACAGTGATTTTTTTATTCCAAAACAAATCATTTTTCATTGTAAATGCTGCCTGAGTAAAAAGAAAATCAATTCTGAATAACTTTGAAAAAACTTAAATATTACAAAAACGTAAAAATACAGTTGCTCGGGCCACACACAGGCGGCCACGGAAGCGTTCCGCCCGCGGGAATTTTTGTAATGTAAGAGTTTACATGAACCCTGCTATGCTGAAACAGGTGACAGGGTTCATAAGAATTCGTACATTACCAAAATTCTATGACTTTTTAATAAGGTAAATAGTTTTACGGTTCTTAGTAGTGTAATTGGAAATAATTTTGTTAAAACATAGAATTTTATTTGATGTATGAGTAAACATTTTTTTCTTTTTAAATGTAATGTAATGTTTATATTTCTACAGAAAGGTTATCGAAAAAAGGTAATGTTATGCGGTATAAACTGTATGAGAACAACATCTTGAAAACAGAGTTTCACATGCCATAATTCGCAAATACGTTCCTGGTGGATTTTTAGTATTAGTCAAGATTTAGATAGGTGGCGGTACTGTGCATTAATTCTTCACGAGTAGTTGACGTCGACCATGGACGTATAGGTCGATAGGCCATAGACCATGGCAGTGTGACCAATACTTAAAAACTTTGCTTGTATAAATATGACTCACATCCTTTTTTTCTCGCATTACTTGGTTTGGTAACGAAGCTAAGCGCTATTGTTCGTATTATTATTTTGTGTGATATTTTTGACCTGGTGATATTTCAATTTAATTCCTGTACGAGTAATAAAAGGTATGTAAATGACATTTCATTTCATACAGACGTCCTTAGATTAATTTTGGTGAAGGATAAAACCTCGTTTGTCGAATTCGTCGTGTCATACAAAAATCAATGACGCCATTTTGTGATCGAGATTTTTCTTTGTTCTTTGTCTTCACTTGTATTGCAAAATAGTTTCATCACATATCTGAATCCTTACACAACGCATTGTAAATTAGTATTTTCGTTGTTGCAGATAATAAAATGCAGATATTTGTGAAAACCTTGACTGGTAAGACAATCACTTTAGAGGTCGAGCCTTCGGACACAATCGAGAACGTAAAAGCTAAGATTCAGGACAAAGAAGGTATTCCTCCAGATCAGCAACGACTAATCTTCGCCGGAAAACAGCTCGAAGACGGCCGTACCTTGTCTGATTACAATATCCAGAAGGAATCCACGCTTCACCTAGTTTTACGTCTTCGTGGAGGCATGCAGATCTTTGTCAAGACTCTCACTGGTAAGACTATCACCCTTGAAGTCGAACCCTCTGATACTATTGAGAACGTGAAGGCGAAAATCCAGGACAAGGAAGGCATTCCTCCAGACCAGCAAAGACTTATATTCGCTGGAAAACAATTGGAAGACGGTCGCACACTTTCCGATTACAACATCCAGAAGGAGTCCACCCTACATCTTGTTCTGCGTCTGCGTGGTGGTATGCAGATCTTCGTGAAAACCCTAACAGGTAAAACAATCACCCTGGAGGTTGAACCCTCTGACACTATAGAAAATGTGAAGGCAAAGATCCAAGATAAGGAGGGCATACCCCCAGATCAGCAGCGATTGATCTTTGCTGGCAAACAACTGGAGGATGGCCGTACACTCTCTGACTACAACATCCAGAAGGAATCCACACTCCATCTTGTTCTTCGCCTTCGTGGTGGTATGCAGATCTTTGTCAAAACCCTTACAGGAAAGACCATTACACTGGAGGTTGAACCATCTGACACAATTGAGAATGTGAAAGCAAAAATTCAGGACAAAGAGGGTATTCCTCCAGACCAACAGCGATTGATTTTTGCTGGCAAGCAGCTAGAAGATGGACGTACACTGTCAGACTACAACATACAGAAAGAATCAACCCTACATCTCGTACTTCGTTTGCGAGGTGGTATGCAGATCTTTGTGAAAACCTTAACAGGTAAAACTATCACCCTAGAGGTTGAACCCTCTGACACAATTGAAAATGTGAAGGCAAAGATCCAAGATAAGGAGGGCATTCCCCCAGACCAGCAGCGATTAATCTTTGCAGGTAAACAACTGGAGGATGGCCGTACACTCTCTGATTACAACATCCAGAAGGAATCCACACTCCATCTCGTCCTCCGTTTGCGTGGTGGTATGCAGATCTTTGTGAAAACCTTAACAGGTAAAACAATCACCCTGGAGGTTGAACCCTCTGACACCATAGAAAATGTGAAGGCAAAGATCCAAGA